AACTGTGAGGACAAATTTATTTATTTTTTACTTGTTTATCACTGTGTCTATCTGAAATGGAGCTAAAAAGAGAACCTGGTCAAACCATCTCGGTGACTTTTCTGATAAAGAGGACAGAAGTTTGTTGTCCTCCTAGGAAAAAGTAGATTTCTTATACTGTTCTCATGAAATTAAATTAATTGAAATTAAGGTTGTGGAGAAAGATTGTTTCAAATCATAATTTTCATTTCCATTTTACAAAAATAGAGCGATCTTGCAGACATGTAAAATTATGCTTTCTTGCAGGTAGTAGTAACTTCTCTATTTTTGCTTTGGCATCCAGTTATTGTTATTAGAATGGTTGATCTTAGGATTTTGTTTATTCTTTGGCTCTAAATGTCTTTTGTCAGATCTAAGCCTTTCCTTAGCAATACAGGTGTAAATGGGTATTACTGAGTGCAAGTGGGTACTTGTTTAATTCAACACTTTCCTAATGTTAATCCTAACATTGATGTCGAGCCCATTCTACATCTTACAGTAAAAAACTGATAGATGATGGAAGCACTTCTATTGTAAAAAATGGATGTGACAAAATACTGAGGTTTGCCGAGGGCAAATTAAGGTTGACGTAGCTACTTGAGGCAGCGTTTTCTTAATTACAGTTGTCAGCTAACTTTCTCGGCTAACAGCACAGAATTTGTGTGCTTCTAAGTAGACTCGGTATTCATTCAACTTAAAAAGCTAAAATGGCTTTTTGTCCATGAAAGGTGTGTCTGTACCTCATTGTTGTTCCATGGATCCACCATAGATGGTGAAAAGATGATAGCATCTGTAAAATATGTAGAGACCCTTGAAAATACTCTCAGTCCTTTATGCCAGAATTCCATCACAGTCTTGGCAAGTCTTGCGGGGGTGGGGAGGGGGAGGGAAGTTTTTTTTCTTCTCATTCATTCAAGTCCTAAACAATAAAATTTCCAAGTTTCTTTTTCTGATACCAAATAAGACTATTACTGCTACGAAAGAGCTTTCTAATACGGCATTAATTTACCTATTGATAAGAGTCTATCAAGGTAAAAGAATGAAGCTATAGAAAAATGCATCATGCAGATCTTTTACTTAGTTGATGAAATAGTTCCTAATAATTATAAACATTGCCTGTATTTGTATTCCTCAGAGAGATACTACGATCCTGATACATTTATAGTCATGTGTCAGGAATGACAGTACCAAGATGTAATTGATAGAAAGGAAGGGGCTTTTATTTTTTTCAGTGTCTGAACCAGCTAAGAAAACTGTTCATACCTTTGCAATGTCTTTTCCTAATTGTTGTAGACAAGGCCTTAAAAGACCTGGTTCTTCAGAGGGCTGCACATTTTATATGGTAATGCGTGATATTAACAGAGCTTTGCTTGTAGGTGTTTAAAGGGATCTCATAATTAGGAAGTGAATAAATGGAGAGAAGCACCAAGAGCTAAATTAGTATTCAATGAATGTTATGAGTGCCACAATAAAAGTAGCTAGTGTTTCCAGGTGAAAACTGAAATTTGAGTCTTCACAGATGATTTTATATGGTGACAGTACCAATGGAATATAATTGGATTTAATTCTTAGAAAATATTCAAATAATTATTGAAGGAAACTCGTTCTACAGTTTAAATTATTACATTATTATAAGATTGTATTCTATTACTTTACATAAACAGCAATATGAAAAATAACACTAGTGTTCCATATGTCAGTTTTTTCCAAAAAAATTCCTGGCCTACCAGTACACATGGTTGCTGACGTGTATGCCATTTTCATTTGACTAGGTTATTAAATCTTTTGATTTTGAAGTCTGTTTGAGAAGACCACCATTAAAAGGCCCCACATATATTACTCTGCTGTGTTTATTACTGAGAAAAGAAGAAACGTCTTTGTTTATCTCTCAATCTGGCCCTTTCCTTCCTGCCATTTTTTCATCTTCTATTGTAGCAGCAGCCCCTTGTGCAATCAGTTGTGGCAGGGACCTTCTGTCACCCACCTTTATCTGCCCCTCACCACATCTGGGGTGAAGTGACTGTCCTCCTCCTCCTCTTCTGCCACACAGCAGAGGCTTCCTCTCCCCTGCTAGTCCTTTTGCCCATGCCAAGATTCCCCAGTCAAGGGTAGCATGAGCACCTCTGTATTGTTGTGGTTACTGTCTTTTCATCCCTGAAACAGGTCAGTTGGCATGTCAGCATCTTCAGCATTCTCTGGAGGGTGGCCATGGCTGAATGCAAGAGGGCAGATGTTGATGGCTGCCGCAGCCGTTTCTAGGAGCTCTAGGCAGTTGCAGTTGTGACTCTGGGCTGGTGAAAAGAGTGTCCACATGTTCACAACAGATATTCCTTCCCTTTTTTAATTTTTATCACAGTAGGGTAATTCTCATTGAGGATGTGTTCCCTAAAACTGGGTGCTGAAGTGTTTCAGAGTTACTGTGCTGAATACAATATGAAGAAGAGAGACATGGACTTAACCAAGTGTAGAGCCTCACAAACTTGGCCAACTAGTGTTTGAGCTGTAGGTCCCAGTGCTTTCTCCTCACCTTACATCAATTATTTATGGCTTTGCTGTTCCAGCTCACACAGTTCAGCTTGTCTCCCTTCATCATCCTCCTGGATGCTGGCAAAAGGCTGCTGCCCAGCGTACTGCTGCAGTGGTGTTGCTGTCCCAGATGTGATGCTCTTGGGGCCACCAGGAGAAAATGAGTGGAGCTGCTGTTAACCAAATAAGAGTGCATGGCTGGCTTCAAAACAGACAACTAATAGAGAACATTTGCAGTGAAAATAGCTGCAGGGTGGCTTTCCCTCTTTTCTTTCAGGTACTGTTTTTCACAGACCTACAGCCTGACTCATTCCCTCTTGTAAGGTTTCTTGCCATGTGGGTCTCCCAGAGCCGAAAGAGCTGCCGTAGTTTAATTCCACATTGAAATGTTCTGTATGGAGGAGGTGACATTTCAAAGCTTATCTCTGAGTCACTTGATTTGCTAAATAGCCATTCATTAAAATGCTCTGCAGAAGTGTACAGTGTTGAATTATACTGCTGGTGTTACACTGGACTGCTCAGGGCTCAGCCTTGCTGAATACAGGGATTTTTGCTTGCTTTCCCAGGCTGTTATTAGTCTGATTTCTTTTAGCTCAAATGAAGGAAAGTAGAGGATTTCATACTTCCTTTGAGCTAGAAGGTATCTATCTGTGAAGCTTTATATATGTGTGTGTGTGTAAATATATGTACAGGCACTGCACAAAAATGTATTCATCCACAGTAACAGGTGGTGCTGGCAACACCTGTTGCTGGGGTCACTCAGCACGCCAGTATTAAAACCCTAATTTTAGTTGCTTATAACTTTTGTCAAACTTAAACATTTGGGTTGCAATGTTATGTGCCAGGTGTCTGCCTTAGGCTGATTTTGGGGGGAGGGAGGCGGGGAGAGGAATTTATCAGCAAAACTGTTACTGGCAGTTGAGGGAGCAGAGGCCAGGGCACTGGTTTGCCTGTGCTGAAAAATGAACCATTGCTGGTTGAGATGTGCCAGCAGCTTCCCCCCTCCAAAGCCAGAAGTTGCCGGTGGAGACTCCCTGCAGCTGGCCATGTCTTTTGCCAGCATTGTGGAAATTTTACTGTTTTACTGAGAATGCACCTCTGTCTGGCTAAATCATGGGCCTGTGAAAATGCTTGGTAGAAGTTTGTTGACAGCTGCCCACCAGGCTGTCTCCATCCTGCCCGTTTTTAAACAACATTGCTGCGCTGGTGACCCTCCGGATGGAAGATGCCCGTGAAGCGGCAGAGTAAATAAGCTGTGGAGTCTGAGCGTGGAGCAAAGGAGGCTGCTGCACGCAGGGCCACCATCTTCATGGCAAATGCAAGCAGCTCTGCTAGTACTCGGACAGTGTGAATAAATAGGAGAGAATGGCTGGCTGGAATCCAAGGAACTGGTGATGAAGGAAGGGAGCGATGGGCTGAGAGCAGTAAGAGTGAAGGACACAGGGTTTTAAGAACCGTATGAGGAGAAGTGCTGAGGAGACAGGCCTGTGTGATAGGGCAGATAGACTGAGAAGGGATGGAGCGTAGCTTCTGCCAGTCCATGATGGCAGGATTTCTGTGGGCCTTGCCTAACCAGCTGAAACATTCCACTGATAGTACATCGCAGCTCCTCAAATGGATGATTTCCACGGAAATACAATCTATACTGCTGCCATTTGAGCGTACAGGCTTGAACCTACTCATAAACGCTTAGGAGTTTGCATGGTTTCATCTGATGCTGTTTCAGGAGGCAGAGTTGTTCAATTTACATCTGCTTAAAAGAAACATCAACATTTTCATTCTTTTTTTCTCTTTTTCGTATTTCTTGATTGGGTATTAGGAAAAATGTTAACACTGAAAGGGTTATTAAGCACTGGAATGGGCTGCCCAGGGAAGTGGTTGAGGCACCATCCCTGGAAGTTTTTAAAAGACAGGTTGACATGGTGTTTAGAGACATAGTTTAGTAATGGGGGGGTGGATGTATGGTTTTCTTTTGGTTTTTTTTTCATTAGAGTTAGGTTGATGGTTGGACTAGGTGATCTTGCAGGTCCCTTCCAACCTAGACAATTCTATGATTCTATGATTCTTAGCTTTTGCATGCTCAAACATCACTTGAAGGATTATTCTGTGTGCACGCAACTACAGTTGTTTCCTACTGTATAATCTTGCTTTGGAGCCTGTACTACGTTTGTAGCTACAGTAAGCAAAATCACACTAGTAAGTCAGTCATAGATACCAAAGTGGGCTGTGGTTTCATCTAAGTTTCAAGAACAGTTGAACAGACTGCTCATATTATTTTTAGAAGTTGCCCTTTCTTGATCATTGTGGGAATTAGAAACAAAATGCCTGTTGCAAAATACTCTGTTTCATATTACTTAGCATTTTCCCATAAAAATCTGAAGAAATGCCACAGAACCTGATCAAAGTTTAAAGTCAGTTTGTTATTGAATGATGATGATTTTTTTTTTTTATTATAGGTAAAGCCTCAGCCAAGAAACTGACGAAAAAGGTAAGCAAAACATTTCTTTCCTTGTTCAAAAGAACCTGCATTCTTTCTGTTACTCAACTGAATAGCTTCTCTTTCAAAACTGGCTTTATATTTTCTTGTTGGTGTCTTTCAAGGAGGTAGATGCTGCACTGCTGCGTGTTGCCAAAGCTAAACCAGGACCGACCTTTTTTAGAGACCTTGGTGATAAAGGTAATGAGCACTTTTGATACTGAACAATACATCTTGCTTCATATTTTTATTTATATTTTTTTATTTATATGATTTATTTATATGATATAAATTTAATATATTTTTAAAGAAGATTTCATGGATTTGACTCCATCCCCATCTAGCCAGTAGCTGCCTCCTTGGCAAATCTCTCAGTTATGCAAGAGAGAGTAAAGAGGCAGAGCTGGGAATTAAAAGCCTTCTGAGGTGCAGGAGGAGACGTGAAAGAAACCAGAAAGCCTACTTGGGGAAGAGAAAGGAGCTAAAGGGATGACTTCAGCACAGAATGTACTTTTAGGACTTGTTAATAAGCTGCTGTTTCACTATATAACTTAAATGCATGGAAACTAAGAATAAAAATAAAATTTGTATCCAGTTATGTTAAAGTGGCATCCCTGATTGTAAAAGCAGTTGAACTTCTTTCTCCTTCTTCAGGAGCTCAGTGGCCCTTCACAGCACTGATGTGTTTTCGTTCTTTTCACCCAGCATTTCCACCTTATATTGGGCTACATAAAGAGAACACTCTGAGAGCTGGGATATTGTTTGTATAACAACAGAGAATTAAAGAACACCAAATAAACACCTCATTAGCATAAATTAATTGAGGGGAGAAAACAAACAAGAGGATCAAGAAAGCCAAATAGATGAGTAATTAACCATTTCACCAGTAACAAAGACTGACATCCACAAACTAATGAGAAAGACTGACAGCGTCTATTCACAAACTTTCTGTATGGTAGAGTTCAGCCTGAATCCCTTACCCCGTGGACGTTTCTGGAAAATAAAGCTGCCTTTGCACTGCTGCAGTTCCTTGGCAGGCATGAGCCATGCTCTTTCCACGCACAGCAGCTCCAGGGGCACGGCTGGCAGCTTGTGCCAAGAGAGCAGCCCTGGACCTCAGCCTGCAGCCCTTCGGCCTCATGGCTTCTCCTGCCTCCAGCTCATTTCTCTCATCCTTGTGTAGTCATGGAGGGGTCTTCAGCTGGGCGCCTTGCTTGCCTGCAAGCCCCAACATACCCCAGCTGCCCTGAAATATCTCTGAACAGGTTGAACAGTTTTTTTCCTATCCTAGGGAAGGCTAGTGAATAGTCATTCCCTGCCTTTTCAAATTACTGATCATCATGTGCTTTCCCAGGGTTGGGTTTAAGGGTTTCCCAGTCTTTAATGCTTGGATATGCTCTCTCTGTCCCTGCATTTTTAGAACCTTTCTTTTTCTAGTGGTTGACACTGCAAATCCCCAAAGCACTCTGCCTGGGAACACTGGGAATCCACTAAGAGAAAGTGAAAACATCAAATCAGCACAATCCTCCTTTTATTGCACCTCTCCCAGCTGACTGCTTGGCAGAAAGTGGGCTCGGAGATACGCTCAGCCTGGCGTCCTTTGCATCCTGCACAAAGCATTGATCTCCCCTTGCTTAGAACTGTGGGTCCGTATACTTTGTCCTTCAAAGGTCAGGTAGGAGTTTGAGGTGATGCAGGAACATTCAGTGCAGTCATCTACATGTCTCCACAACAGATGGAGTTTTCACAGTTTTGGGTCATGATGCCTCTTTAACGACTTTGATGCTTTTGCTTTGAGATGCATTATTATTACATTTTTAAAATGTAAATATTTATGCATTAAATACTGCTTTTACAAGTACCAGAAAAATTCATCTACACCTGTTCCACTGTTTAGCTGAGATTATTCTAACTACATTCAAATTGTTATTTAAATATTAAGTAGAGGGAAAACTGTCATCTGTCCAGTTTGTAAAACGTAACGCTGGGGAATTCTGCCTTCTAGTGGGCAGTTTTAAAATTCATGTCATATTTTGTGGGTATACTTATTATTTATTCAGCAATAAGAATATTGTACTGTCAGCATTTGCTATAAAGTTTGAGGGTTGAGATTTCCAGGGAGGGATAGGGAAGGTTCATTTAGTGTTAGAAAATGACAGGATTATGCCAATGCTAACTGCAAATACTTGGTTGTAAATGTGCTGAGTCATTCAACAGTATATGAAACTTTTATATTTTTAGTTTTCCTTGGACATGAATATAATTTTCTATGTCGGTTTTGTTTTTTTAGCTTGTTGCATTGCATCTTTTAATTTGAGTAACTTTGTAATGATTACTGTAGAATAAAAAGAAAATCACCAAAATATTTAATTTACTTTATGGATAAGGTAAATTGGCCATTCACTACAGGTAATAAAAGGACAATGAAATTGACAGAAAAATTTTTATGGAAAGAAGTCCACAAGTTAAAAATAAATCTTATCTCAAATTATTTTCATATAATCACTCTGCCAGAAAATTTCAGGCAGGCTGTGGATTTGCTTTAAGGTACTGAGACAGGTTTTAAAGAACAATCAATAATTTTTTTACATATTTTTATATGTAAAAATTTTACTTACTTCATTACAGTGACTTTTCAATCAGTTTACAATAAGATGATGAGAACAGAGTCTGTGTCTTGCCCCTGCCATTTCTTGCAAGGCTCTTTCTAGCCCTCTGCAATTCAAGTGAATAGAGGCATCACATTTCTCCCTTGAGCCAATAAGCAGAGTGTTGTCTTTAAATTGGTCTTTTCTTTATGTCCTACCATCTCCGTATAAATTTTGCAGATTCTTTCTGCAAAATTTTATAAGGTACAACGTTTCCCGTCTACCCATATAGATAGAACTCTCCAGGCACTCAGCATTTTGTATCTCAATTATTACAACTTTTTTTTTCTCTGACTTTAACGAACATAATCTGCCCTGTTAATATCCTTTCAAAAGCTTTAATAAATATGTTTTTCTTACATGAGTCCTTTGAGTGTGTCATGTCTTCTTTTGTAGCCCAACACTGGGTTCTCCTTATTCCATTTTATCTGGCATAAGCTGCTTGCCTTCACTTTCCAGGTCTTCCCTAGACTTTCCCTGTGCAGCGCATCTCAAGACAACCAAGAGGCAGACTCCCACTTCTCCTTCATCCTTACTGGTTCAAGTTTCGGGCAGGGCTCTTTGTGCTGATGCCATTGCAGTCCATGACTGGGGGGTGTTTTCTATACAGACTTGAAAAGTTACCTCCTTCTCTTCCTTTATATTCTTCCTTTAAACATTATTTTGCTGCGTCACACACAAAACCAAGTTAGGGAGCAGGAATCTTGATCACTGCCACTACACCATTTCCTTGATTTCTTTTCCTTCCCTATTTTTTCTATTCATTTTTTTTCTCCTGTCTTATACTTAGGCATATAAGCTAAAAAAATGGGATGGGAGTTCTTTCTGTTCAGTTGGTTTCAAATTTGTAGAAGTCCTGGACACTTTGTCTAGGAACACGATCTCAAGTTTTACAAGAATGCAAATAATAATTTACATTCTTGCAATGGCAGTAACCCCAAAACTTGTAAGCAAAACTAAGCCTTTGAGATTAAAGTATTTTTTATTTCCACGGTGTATTGTATGACTGTAGTACAGTGCTGATTTATATGTGATGCTTGCTGGATAATAGGGTGAGTAGCCCTATTTTGATGGAGAGGACAGCTGAGATACGGAACCAGAGTGAATTGGCAACAGGATCAGCATTAGACCTGTCATTAGCTAAAACTTGTTCTTGGATTTTCAGACTCTTGTATTCAGCAATTTAATATTGCTAAACTCTGGTACTTTAAGTTTAAAGTGTTAAGTCATTATCTGAGGTCAAATACAAATGCTGCTGGCTCTGCATAGTGATTTATCAGAAGTTAATTGTTTATCACTGAAGCTTAAGTGGATCTCTTATCTATCAATTAACTAAATATAAATTATAAAAAATAGTTTATCTTTGCACAGATAGGCATGTTTGAACTCCATTATTTTAAGCAGCTTCAGCATTATACAATGTTTAGCTCACAAGTTAAAAGTAGCTCAGTTATTTTGAAAAGTGATTTAGAAAAAAGCCCTTTACATTTTTTCTCCAAACATTATTGCAGGGCAGATGGTTCAGATTCTGTTGCTGAACCACCCTCGTTATGCACGCTCTATCTTTAGCTTGTACGCTCTATTTTGACGCTATCACATCGCTGTGTTTGTTCAGGCTTTTCACTTAAGGCGGTATTTCAAAGGAAAACACTGGAATTTTCCTTCAAAAGGGGGGAAAATACTTTCACCTTGTAGAAAGGACATGTTCCTATTTTTATAAAAAAAAAAAAAAAAGAGAAGCCTCCTCTTGGCACGCGGCCCAGCAGTACTATCAGCACAATCTAGCAGCTTGGCAGCTTTGCGTGTTGCCATGTTCCCCTTGAGAATTAGAGGGAAGCTTTTCTCCGCCTTCGCAAGCCTGCCAAAGGATGGAGGACTTTGATCCTTCAGGGTAACGTTAGAGTAGTTCTCCTCCCAGGTACTAAATGTGACAAAGCGCATTTAATTTATTTGCCTTTTATATAAACATTGAATGTTTTCAGTGAGAATCCAAAGATTTAGTGTAGGCCTTTTATTAATGCCAAATAAACCGTACTTTCTTGATTAGACATGAACATTGATGAGTCTCTGGATAGGGAATTTTACCTTCAGAGCACTAAAAGCAGAAGTAAAAACTTTATTAAATAATAATGTGGCTTACTTTAATAACCTATTTAATATGATGTTAAACTACATTTTTTATATTTATAAGATTTGATCTTTCAAGTCTTGCTATAAGTTTTCTTGGGAATTTTTTGCAAGTAATTTTTTAACTCTTCTATTTCAGGGTTGATATCTTATGCAGAGTACCTATTTTTGCTGACAATCCTTACGAGTAAGTACTGTATATTTAAAATATGTATGTGTAAATACTCAGCTACTAACAGATTTTGTTTTTCTTTTCAACTTTTTCTGATATTTTTTAATTTCTAAATTTGCACATTACAGGAAAAAGAACTGCTGTATATGGAATGATAGGGCATTAATGTAACCGGATAAATTTTAATTGATTGCAACTCACTTCTATAGTGTCATCATTGGTCCATAGCAGTACTTCAAAAATCATTATAGTCCTTGTACCATGGGATCAGTAAAGTCTTCCAAGAGACTTTGACAGAGGGGAGACACTGGTTACAGGACTATACAATAAAGGAAGAAGAACAGTGGGGGAAGATAAATAATTTGTCTTCTGGATAGTAGTTTTAGTCATTTTGGACAATGAGACATTAACATTATAGCTTACGCGGTGCTGTAAAATCTGTAGTGGTGTCTGAAAGGTTGTTGCTTATTATTCGTGTGTTCAGACATGGATAATACACATAAATAGCTGACTTCTGCAGTGTCTTTTTGTTTGACTTTTTAATCCTTTTTTTTTTTCCTTTTTTTCTTTTGACTTTATTTCCTCCAAGTATTTCGCTTGTATTTCTGCCCCCTCCTTTGCCTCCTTCCTTTTTCTCTATCAGACAATTTTCTAAAAAAACCTTTTTTGTTTGATACTTGCTTTATCTGCAAACAGCAGGCACTTTTTGTTTGTGCATGGAATCATTCTTGGATTTTCTGGGTTTCCTCACCCATACTCACTCTGTGCCATGCTTGCCACCCACCTGTGCTCTTCTGATGAAGCATCAGTGATGCTGGAAAATACCGAGATTTGAAATAAGGTGTGTGCAGTGAGCATTAAGCAGCGACACCCATAGACAGGTAGTGAAGTAGTCCACATGCAAGTCTGTGTAATTAGTCTACATGCAGTCTTGTTTGACTGACTGACACAGGTATAATATTTTAAGCAAGGGACAGAACCAAGCATACTAGATCTCATGGTATCAGTGGATGGGGAAAGGAGAGGAGGAAGCAATTGTTCTTAAGCCAGTTGCCTGTCAATGCTTGAACCTCATCACTTCCATGGTGGTGAGGACCGTGGCAGAGACTTAAAGAAATGGCATTGGGCGTTGGAATAGGCTGCCCAGGGGGGTGGTTGAGTCACCATCCCTGGCTGTGTTTAAGAACCGTTTAGATGTGGTGTTGGGGAATATGGTGTAGGGGAGAACTTTAGAGTAGGGTAGATGGTTGGACTCGATGATCCTGAGGGTCTCTTCCAGCCTAGATGATTCTGTGAAATGGACAAGTTTTCCTTACTCTGGAAACCCACTCTGTCACAGTGTAATAACAACAAGTAGTGTTGGTCTCCGGTGTCCACTCTTCACAAGATGATGACGGTCAGTACACACCTCTCACACAGCCTTTTTACAGCTTATGTCATTTCTCAGCAGAACTGCATTGGTTCCTACTAGGAACTTCAACTAGTACACAATAATGCATAGTATATATAAATTAATATAACCTATTTGCCATACAAAGGTACTATTTCAACAGTAGTGATTTGCCAGTGCTACAAGTAACTTGACCATGAGTTATACCATGTGTTCAAATGCTTTCTAAAATCAGAAATAATGTCTAGCCCAGTTAGAAAGATGATTTAAAATTATTTGTTGCAACTCGAAGAGGGATATTTTTTTTTAAATAAGCACAACCACATAACTTCCGAAGAATACCTTAATTAAGGTTGCAGAAATAGGTGCCAAAGATTCTATTTCTTTAAAAATCCGTGGAAGCTGAAAGTAAATTCATGCTGATTTATTGGCTGAAACAATTAGAAAATTGAAGCAGCATCAAGGCAAGTTGTTCCACTCCTCCAGACAATCAAGTAACATTATTTTTCACAGAATTTATATAGGGATGTATTGGACTGCAAAAACAAAGGTGCCTTTTGATGCAGGATAAAAATGCAGTGCTGACGTTGCTGCTTTGGTTACACAGAGGGTTATCATAACCCATCATTTTGAAAGCAAATGTCAACAAGTGTTAGTGCCTCTTTCTTTGCCTAACAAGTATCCCATGTCAGTCAGCCCCCAGTTATACAACATCTCTCACTAGTGAGAATTAATGTGAAAATTCTTAAAGCAGCCATTAATATTTCACAGAATCACAGAATTGCCTAGGTTGGACGGGACCTTTAAGATCATCTAGTCTAACCATAAAAAAAAAAAACAAAACCAAAACAAAAACACCACAAAAAAACCACCACCATACCCACACACCACCAACAAACACTAAACCATATCCCCGAGCACCGTGTCAACTCGTCTTTTGAATATCTCCGGGGATGGTGCCTCAACCACTTCCCTGGGCAGCCCATTCCAATGGTTGATAACCCTTTCCGTGAAGAAATTTCTCCTGACGTCCAACCTGAACCTCCCCTGGTGCAACTTGAGGCCATTTCCTCTTGTCCTATCGCCTGTAATTTGGGAGAAGAGACCCACCCCCGCCTCTCTACAGCCTCCTTTCAGGTAGTTGTAGAGGGCAATGAGGTCTCCCCTCAGCCTCCTCTTCTTCAGACTAAACAACCCCAGCTCCCTCAGCCTCTCTTCATAAGACACTCTCCAGACCCCTCCCCAGCTTCATTGCCCTTCTCTGGACCCGCTCCAGCACCTCGATGTCTTTTTTGTGGTAGGGGGCCCAAAACTGGACACAGTACTCGAGGTGGGGCCTCCCCAGTGCCGAATACAGGGGGACGATCACCTCTCGGGTCCTAGTCACCACACTGTTCCTGATACAGGCCAGGATGCTGTTGGCCTTCTTGGCCACCTGGGCACACTGCTGGCTCATGTTCAGCCGACAATCGACCAACACCCCCAGGTCCTTTTCTGCCCGGCAGCTCTCCAGCCACTCTGCCCCCAGCCTGTAGCACTGCAGGGGGTTGTTGTGACCCAAGTGCAGGACCCGGCACTTGGCCTTGTTAAACCTCATCCCGTTGGTCTCAGCCCATCGATCCAGCCTGTCCAGATGCCTCTGCAAGGCCTTACTACCCTCCAGCAGGTCGACACTCCCACCCAACTTGGTGTCGTCTGCAAACTTACTGAGGGTGCACTCATTAATGTTTAATTAAAAACATTAAATTATGTCTTCTAAGTCACCAACAGAGCTATAGGGAAACAGGGAAAGAGTCACCAGGTTTCCAGAGTCCCGGTTCCGGGACACTGCTGACCAGACCGTGCTTCCTCTCGTACAAAAGCACTAACTGTAGCAACACTGAACTTGAAAATGTAATTTTGCAGTAGACAAAGGTTTTATTTTGCCCCCCGTGATCTCCTTTTCTCTTTTCCAGGTGCTTTGTATCATCACTGTCTTTTTTCTTCCATTGCTCTGTTGAATTTGATTTCCAGCAATTGGTTAAAGGCACTCCTGTTAAAGCCCTGCCTGGTGAAGGAGCCCAGGAACTGAAGTTGTGACCTCTACTCAAAGCTTCATTTCAGTTAGCCAGTCACACAAGTTGACAGCTTGGTCAATGTAGGAATAGTTGGAAGGCAAGCACCTAAGTCTAACCTGCACTCACAGCCAAAATGAAGCTCTTCTGTTCAGATTTTGGAATTTTGCCTGATTCTAATTAAATACAAATATATCTGAGGTAGTCTTTGAACTATGCTTATTTTACGAACACATACCTTTGTGGTTATATCATATCAGATAAGTATGTCATCTCTGAACAGTATAAGAAGCTTTAGGTCCTATATTTTCAGTAACAGCTCTCTTATCTGAAAATTGCAACCCAGATGGTATGAATTACTGTTAAATACATCAATTACATTTATTCTCTAAATATGTTATAGGATAGGCTCTTCTTGCTTTTGTACTAGTAACACAAATGTAGTGTGTGGCATTTCCATGGAAAGAAAGCCAGTTTTGATTATTCCAACCCAGTTTCTGGGGAAGGACTGTGCTATGCAGATTTATAAAATATCCCTGCATCACAGGGTTGCTCCACAGAGAGTGTTAGTTGGCTGCTGAAGATGTAGTTACTTCTAAAATGTAAAAATAGGACTTTCTTTTACCGTCTTGTTATCACTAAAAGGGACGGACTATTTCTTTAACTTGTTTCATTTGCAGAAAGATTCTCTAAAAAAAAAAAAAGCAAGACTTAAAACTTTACAGGACAGAGCTGGAAAAAATATATTTCCAAAAGAAAAACTCTGAAGGCGTTAGGAGTTTTTTAGAGATACTGCTTCACTGCCCTCCTGAGTCCAACATTGTTCTCGGAAACATGAATATATTCTAGAGACGCTAAGTCTGTGGCTTTCATATTAATGCCTGACTTGACTGGGTTGTGGAATTAATTCACCTGCTCCAGAAATTACTGGGATAAGTGCTTGCTACTGCAGTGAACTGTAACTGTATTTCAGCGTCATGCTGCTCCTGTGTGGGCTTGCTAATGCGCAAGGCCACCTCCTCTAAGCAAAGTAAGATCAGGAAATTGTGGAAGGAGCTCAAAACACACTGTGTTTTTATAGCGCCTGCAAGATTCAGAACTCATTACGTTTTTGTGTTGAAAAGAAACATCCACTGGGGGAAGGAAATGCAGGGTAAAATTGTATCAAATTCCTGGAAAAATCAGCTTGATGGGAGTCACACAAAACATGCTTTTGTCCAAAAAGCCCAGAAAAAGTGTTTTTTTACATCTCAGTAACATTTAAGTACATTGTTTAGGGAGGAGGTAGAAGGGAAGGAAAAAAAAGTCTTGGGGGATAACACAGCGGGAGCAGAAGCCAAGAACTGGCCACGATTACAAGTTCAGTCTGTTTGCTGAGGAAGACCAGGGGAGATCCTGCAAATGCCAGCAAGAAGTACCTGAGGAGTACACTAGCTCTTTCATGCAGTTTTGGGAGTAATTACTGGTTTCTCAACCACTACTGGTTGAAACCAGTGCTGGTTTTCTCAACCAGCACTTTCCAGTCTTCTCACCTGAAAAGAAGCTCTAATAAACAATGCAGTGCTGGACTTCAGAAGTGACATGGGATTATGGAGACATCTATAGAGAATATCTAAGAATATCTATGACCTGTACTTAGACACTGCTGGCATTTCTTGGTTTGCCATCACATTAATCATTCCTTGAAGTGGTAGTAAAACGGTGTTTAAAAAGTTTGCTTATATTGGAGGAGATAGGTGTGGTTTACTGGAAATACCATCTACGTGCGTAACAATGGAGAACTGAACCATAGGCAATATTCCTTTTGCATTAAATATTTAAGTGCTAGTGTAAGCCTGTGTGTATGTGTGTGTGTGTATTTGCAATAAAGTTCTTTCACAATTTGTTGCAGAACCCCAGACTGGATTTCAGATTGCCTTTAAAATGTTGGATACAGATGGCAATGAACAAGTTGAAAAGAAAGAATTCTTTAAGGTATGTGTATTTATATGCATATTAATTTTAAAGCATTTGAATAGTTCCATGGGTTATATTTGCTAACTGAAGATTCATTAAAACCTTCAGGCCTGTTTTTCAACCCAATCTACGCACATACCAAAGCTCTGCTGTAGAAATACTTCTCATATTTGAATCCACTTTTATAAATGTTATTTTTGACTTGTGTCTAAAAATCTATTACTGGGAAGGTAGGCACTGGTGTACATCCCTTAATCCCAGGAGCTAATTTAAATAATGATCTGGAAAAGTCTTTTATTTTCTAAATATTTTGAACTTTTTTTTTAATAGGTTTGAATATTTTTTTTCCTTTCTTGGTTTTTATTAGTTTTTTTTGCTGTTGCACAGTTTTTTCACCAATTCACACTTTGGAGAGTAATAGCAGTGTTTCCCATATTTTGTATGAATACGAAGGGAAAAATGCAGTTGCTTTAAAAATGAAGAAAATCTTGCTTTGATGTTTTAAAGAAGAATAGGTTTAATTATATAGCTTATTCAACTTTTAAGTATTCCACAGGAGATTGTTACCTAAATACTTCTTGTCAAAAGTTGAATGTCAAATTAACAAACATAATTTTTAATAGAGTCCCTCAGCTTAATTCAGATCCTTCATTCAGATTGGAGGTGACTAGAGAGACAATTTTATAAGAAGCTGAAACAACTACTACAATGCAAATTATATTCTATCACTAGGATAAAGTTAGAGATGATCATTAATGCCTCAACTCTAAAGAACCATAGAATCTAAAACTTACAAAGATGCACCTGTTGATAGAGAAATTACCAAAAATTATTTAAGTGTACTTTTATAGCCTTAAACTCTGAATTAATGATACAATAGCTGTTAGCATGTGTTTTGCACTGGTAGCCATTTCTTCAGTGAATTGTCTCTTTACAATTGATGAGTCATACTTAGATATATTTTAAAATATTGTAAAAATACTTTTAGACTTGGTAGTATTATTTGACAATATTACTTGAAATTAGACTATTTCCCACTAAAGCGTTCCCAGAAGCCTCTAATGGAGCCTACAGATACCCTACACTCATTTGTTGCTACACAAAATCTCTTAAGCTTGAAGAATTTGCTCTGTTAAAATAATAATTATTCTGCTGATTAAAAAGAAATACAATTGTAACTAAAGCCTTTATTTTTAACCTACTAAACCTGATACAATCTGAATTGTTATTAGAGTGCCCTGATCACCGAAATGTGTCTGTTATGGCTGTACTGGTCATCTACAAAAGAGTACGTTACAGTGGAAAGTAAGTCCAAGAACACAAGTGAAAATGTTCAGCCTGTAGTGGCTCTTCACCACAGTGTCATGTTAGCAGTACTTCCTTTAGATAGGTGCTGTGACAGTTAGGCAAATAAGGAGACTCTTGCAAAAATACAGCACAACTCACTCTCTTAGAGAAATGTGCAGTATGTCATATATTTAATATCCATTACCCATTTCAGGTAATTCTAATTGCATCAGGCAGTATAAAAAACAAAAAGTCATCAAAAATAGAGATGAAAACATTGCTCAAATAATTAAAAATAATTTTATTTCTGTATAAGGCAATCAAATTAAATTAAAATATAATCTATAGTTAGATAGATTGTTACTTTGCATTTCCTTTATAGGCTGTATTGATGGCTTAATCTAGAATGGTATAAAAACCAACCATATAAATTGTTGTCCACTCACAAGAATCATTAAATTCAAAGGAGTCCCACAGGACGCAAGGTAGTCAAAAGCTGAGTTTTCTCACATGACTGTTTACTGACCATTTATAAGCAGTGACTATTTTAAAGCAAAACTCAGGTTTTATAGGTTAGATTTAAAAATAATTTTTTTGGAATGTAAGAATCTGGAAAAAAATGTGTGTGTTAATCTCATTATACTCTAGTTCTGTATGCATTGCAGAAAGCTTCTGTATATCAAATAAATTAGTAAATTGTATGGCTAATATGTCCTTTGTCTTGTCCCAATTGGCATCTCATAAAAATACATCTGACCTACTGTATAGTTATTTCCACACTATATTTGACATTAATATTAAGAAATGTATGTAAGGAAAGGGCAGTGGAGAAGAGTAGCGAAGAAGCGGTAATTAATAGGCAATTACTGTAAGGAAGATGTGATGGGAAAAGAAATGTCAGTGCTACTTCATTCTCTTGCTTTGTCACCTCTACTGATTAGACATCTATGTACATCTATATTATCTGTTGATCTGGGCTGTAAATTCTCTGAGGTAAGAACTTTGCCTTTTTGTTCGTAAAATGTCCATCATTCTTTGAATTATGTATATCTCAACTCTCATGTGTTACTGGATAAACGGGCACAATATGTGTCACGTGAATCATTCAGGAAAGGAGAAGGGTGACAAACAGACTCAACAACTCGAGTCCTTTGTGCCTGCAGCACACGATGGAGAGAGGCTGTTCAGACCTGGATGGATCGGACACTGAAGGAGTGTGAGATGCAGGATTTCCCAGTAGATACAGTGCTCTTTGCTAGCATAAATGAATGTCCAGCAAAGGAGATGTTGAAAGCAATTCCATGTTTTGAAGGAGAGAGTTTATCTTGTCCTCCATAGCCTTTCCATTTCTCTGCACATTTTCCTCCTTTCCAGTAGGAGTTAAAATTCTGTCCCTACCCAGGGACAGGCTCTTGTTCTCTCTCCTTCCCACTTCCTTGTATTCAAGCCAGTCTGTTTTTAATTTCTGATACATTCGTGTTTCAGTGGTAAACATTCATAATACAAGAAACATTTCAGTATTAAGGCCCAGAATCGCAGCAATCTGTATTTTCAGGTGGGCAACTGCAAGGATTTGTTGCTTTGCCCTGCAACTCCAAGATGAAGAAAATGTGGGAGAAATGGCGTGTTCACAGATGTTAGCTGCCATCCTTTAATCAGCCCCTGCCAGAGTGCAAAGAATTGTTTCTTACAGCCATATTATCTGCATCTTTTTGAGGACAGTAAGATAATTCTGTGAACTCCACACTTCCGAGACATTCACATGAGACTTGGTGAGGGGGATTTCCAGACGTGCACGTAATAACCCATGCACATTAATCTGAGACCTCCCATCAAGAATAAGGCTACCAAAGATCCCAAAATCCCCTGCAAGTGAAGAATTTCCCTGACTCTATCCTGATGAAAGTTGTCTAAGTAAAATTAATGACAGTTCAAAACTATTGGGAATGGAGGTAGGGTAACTCACATGCAAGAGCTATGCGATTTAGGCTTTCTAAATAGACTGTCTTTATACACTTGTCCTGGACAGCAGATACCCAAAAAACACTTGTAGAGATTCATCTAGGACAGAGTAAACCAGCACCCAACACTGTCAGCAGTTGTGGTGGTTTGGTGCAGAACACCTTTGCAGTCCTAGACCATCCACCTTTCTATTTTTTCTTTTTTTATGACTGACAGCCTTTCTGCCAGCTTTTGTCTTCAGAAAAGATTACTTCTTAGTAGTCTTTAGTAAAGAGGCATCAGTTGTGCATAATAGTTCTCATTATCTTTGAATTAGCCATTAGTATCTTCCAGTGATGAACAGATATAAATATTAAATACAGATAAATGTTACATGGAGCAGTTGAGTAATAGAGTCCATTTCTCGAGGGCAGAATTCTCCCTCTGTGAGTAGTTGCTGCACTGTGCTGGAAAAAATCTGCAAACTACTGGAAATAGTTTCAAGCACTATAGGGATTTACATACAGTATAAGAAAACAATAAACTAAATCCTCCAGAACACTTGTGAAAAAAAATTATACTGTGTGCCTGTGCTCTTTAGTAGTCTCTGCAGATTTTTTAAAGAGTTATTTAAAAATAAAATACAAAGGGAAAAAAATCATATTTTCTCTTGTTTGGAAAGTATTGGCAGTTGTATTTCTTGTGTGTGAGCAAAAGATTGATTTTTCAGTTAAGAAAAAATGTATTTTTTCAGTGAGAATGTGGACAAGCAGTTGTGTTTTTATTCAGACCTCTACATTGCTATTTTGCTATGAAGTAATTCATAATGCTTTTACTGTACTAGTCAATCATTTTGCAAGTGATCAAAAATAAAATATAATTTGAAGAAACTTCGAAGAACAAGTACTGTTCAATTGTCTTGTTTTACAGTGCTTATTTTGATAAATACTATCAAGGCATGCTATTCAAAAATAATAATAGAAAGTAACTATCCTGAGGAACTCAAAACTGAGGCTATAAAAAAAACAGCACAGGTGAATTAGTGGAAATTTGGAGGCCAAGGGAAAACCTTTGGCAACATGAACTGTTATCAGTTCTTTCCTACTCACTACTTACTTACATATTGCTTCTCTGAACAACATAACAAAATAAAAAAAATAAGGCCCTAATAAGAGATTTGAAAAGCTCACAAAATCACGGCTATGCAAATTTGGTCATAGACTTTTTTTCCAGTTTCAATGGGCAGGGTGAGTCGTCACTCAGAAATGTTTGAGAAGCAAGCCAGCAGCTTCAAAAATTCTGAGCTTTAAAAGCATCTTTCTTAAAGTCTTCAAATCCAGAGTACTCAGTGTAAGTCCATATCTATACTGAAATGCAATAATAAGTTCATTTTTCTTTCATTTTTGCTGTCCTTTTGAGGGTTCGTGCAAATGTCTGTGAGAGGTAAGTATACCTTGTGCTATGTTAAATCAGTCATTCTTGTGGCAGTGTTGACCTCCCAAGCTAAAATACAGTCAAAGAAACCTTGCAGCTGAGATATACTTGAGGTGCTGCAAATTAGTGCATGTTCTATATTACCTTAAAGCTGTGCTTGGGACAGTGGAAGTTAAGGTTTTAAATGTGAGTCACTTCACTACTTATAAAAATCTTCTCAGCTCACACATTCAGGATTCATTTCTTTGTGGGCTGGAAGAGAAACTCAAACCACGTTCTGCTTAATGCCAGTTCTGAAAATACATTTGCATATTTAATGAAATTATTCTTTGTTGTTAGTTGTATAGTGCCTCATTTGAACAGGTATGTTTTTCGTGTCTAGAAGATCATCTCTGTAGCAGAACTATGTTAAGCTGCCTAGGAGGAGAGCATGAAAATCACAGGTTAATTTTTATTTTCCAAATGACTCTTGATGTTATATCCCTGAGTTTCAAAATCTTATGGAGTGAATGCGAAGGTTCTAGTGCAAGAAAATCTCCTCTAAAAATAGAGTAAGTGCTGGGATGCAAGAGATAGATTCATATGCTGTGCTTAGCTGTATTAACCACAGTTGATAAGACATTCCTGGGAAAAAATGTGGCTGAATAGCAAAGTATCCTTAAGTATGCAAATATTTTGTCATGACTAGAGAACCTTGCAGAAGCTTAATGACTTTATAATTAAGAAAAGGTGAAATCAATGCTAGTTTCTGAAAAAGGAGACTCATGTAAGACCAGATTTGTAATTTTCCTGTGGGTTTTTTTCATGTTTAGCTACAGAGAATCATTGGGAAGGAAGATGATGTGAAAACAGCTGGAGAAGAAACAGTACTTCGGGTATGAAATAGAGATACATTTTTCTTTGCATTGTCGTAATTCTCATGAACTTTTATTTTTTCAGAGTTTTTAGAGAAGTATATAAGCATCAATATTAGCACTTTAATTAAATGAAAGCGTATGATTTGTCAACTACTTTCTAACTGGGAAAGAAAAATGTTTGCAATTTCTGGATCTCCTGATGAAATGAATGCAATTAATGTATTTTATTGCTGTGTGGTCGTTCCACTATTTAGTTTCTGTAAGGCTCTGTTTCAAAGCAACTCTCTTCTATTTATGAAAAACTCATCAAAAACTCTATATCACCATATAAGAGAAGATGGCTTTGCAAATAGAAATTGATACCTTAAACTAAACTAAGTGCTGCTGTTGCAGTAATATCAGCTTATTCTGAGTTGGTTTGAAATGTAATTGCTATCACTGAGGTGACAAAGGCAAGGTTTACTTTAGTCAGGTCCGCTTCCAGAAAGAACTAACTGACATGCAGCCCAGAAGAAGAAACAATCTTAGAGTATGATCTTCCAGCTGGGTTAGCAATTTCACTGGACTGCAGACCATTAGCAAATGGCAAATGTGGCTCATCAATGAGGAGCGGGCAAACTCCTGCTATCTTATGTTTGTTTTCCCCTGCATCCTGCCAGTGTAACGTTCCTTCTTCCCCAAGTGGAGTCTTTGCTAGCTGCCATCTCTGCTTCAGTCTCTAGTTAGCACAGAGACAACTTAATCTGTAGCCTGGATGAGACCAAATGAGAAGGAAAGCAGAGAGAAGGAAGTCCTGACCATACTGAAAACGCCTCAGAAGCCGATCAACTGGAGCAAAAGAGCTGGAGAGTACAGATGAGTTATCTCCAGCTATTACTGTAAGGTGCTGCTTGCATCAGCAGCACTACTTTTGTTGTGTGCTTAAATTGGATAGTGTAGCTGAAGGATATTTTTCTCACCACAAACTTGCTTTTAGCCATAAACTGAAAATGGGTAATTAGGCATGGGACAGTGATGGCTCAGGCTGGAAGCATTCAATAAGAAATTTATACAGGGCTCTGCTTTATAAACATATCATGCATCAGCAGTTTCTACAAAGAGTTGGTCCAGCTTCTGTTCTTTGCTTTTTCACCTGCCTGAGAAAAAAATGGAAGTGGCAGTGTTGCTAACACCTTTAATATTTACTAGGCATAAACTAAAACTGTCTTCTGATGCATAAAGGTTTTGCTCCCTCAATATGCATCCAGAGTTCAGTTTAAAATTGTTTGACTGACTAACAACCATCTCCCTTCTTGAATTTTTTCATCAATCACCAGATTAAAATAGCTAGGATTAATAGGGTTGTCTGCTCCTCAAAACCAATTTCAATTGAGACTTAACTGCCATGACAGTAAAAGAAAAAGGATCTTTATTCTGCATGAATGCACAGCTATAGTATAAAATTTCCAGAGAAACTTTGATACAGTTGGACAGATTTCGTTATAAACACATAAGCTTCTTGGGAGCTAATTAAATACCTGAGCCTGAATGTCTCTATTTTGTTTTTTGACTTGCTTCAAATTTTGTCTTCAGAATTCTCCATTGAGAAAAATCTGTAGTTGTTGTAACCAGAAAATATTCTTTAATATGGTTTCTTAGCATATTATAAATGGAATGATAGTCTGTTCAAAAGAAGAATTAAATAGCTTTGAGGAGTACAGCTATCTTGAAATTCTTCTGGTCTCTCTATTTCTACATGGCAAAGTCCAACTTGTCACTTTTCTTCTAATTTTTATTTTCTTTCCTGTCTGTCTCACAAAATAAGTTGATTATCTTTCTAAGCAGTGAATCTGGCTATACGATGTAGTCAGTGCATATGTTTTTACCCCTTGTTTTTAATTATTATGGTAGTCATAATATTACTTTCAAGCAAAGCAGATAAAGCATAAAAACAAAGCAGATAAAGCAGTTCATTTACTGTATGGAGATACCATTTAATACTCATTGAGATACTGTGTTAGAAAAGAAAAAGCAGTTCATTCGCTGTGCTCCCAGGGTACTTGTACGGCTGCCTCTTTTACTGAGACTTTGACTTACACATTTAAAATTCAAAATCTGAGCATTTAGTAATGGCCCTTGAACGGGATGGCAGTGGCCTTGGTTACACAGATAAATATATTTCAATTGAGTGATTTTCTTTTTCCAATATCATAATTGATGCTGGAAGCAAAGCCAAAAAAAATCTGCCCAGCCTTAACCGACCCAGTCTTCTGCAAAGTTCCATGCTGACTTTTGCAGAGCAGGCAATCTGATTTACTCGTAGGGCAGGCGCGCGTGCACACAGTGAAGGAGAGATGCAGGCAGACCTACAAGACTGGCGACCTGCTTCTTTCTGACTAGACTGGAGAAAATGGTGCAGAAGTCAACATAGGCAGCAGCTATCTCACCTCACCCATCTTCCCATAGCCCAGAGGAAATGCCATGCCTGGCTTCCCAGAACAACTGTTCTGCTTCACCTGAGACATCCAGCTGAGCGTTTGACCATGCCCCATGGAAGAGGAGAGACAGAGTCCTGGCCTGGCAGTGGTGTAGAGTGTTGTAGGAAAGTACATGAGCAAGGAGGGTTTGGTGATCCCCAGTGAACAGCACTAATTGCTTCTGTATTAATGCCCTGAGTTCCTTAAAAGGATATTGTAATAATGATATGTGCCTTTTCTGGTAGTGAAAACAATGCTAATGGTTGCAGGTATCTACCGCACAGCCCAGTCGTCTTGATGAGGGACTTTGCTCTTGGGCCCCTCAATTTAGATTAATGAGTTATCAAGTAGTTTCAATACCTCTAACTTAATATGCTTTGTATAATGGCTAAATTTAGAAATTAATTTCAGCTATTGTTAGGAAAGGAACGACAATACAGAATGTTCTATATTTGTTCTTAAAATGGAATTCATGTTGGGAAATAATATGTGCATTGTCTCATTTCCAAATGATTAAACATACACTTCTGGATTCCATAATGAACACATTTTCATACAAAGTATCTCATTTACATGTTTTTTTAAAACATTTTACTAGTACTTGGGGACACAGCTATTAATCTCTTTTAAAAAGAAAACTTTTGAACTAAAATTCAGTCTGTAAGGATACTTTTAGACCCACACGTGGATATTTTCCTACTGATTGTGTATTAGTTGTTTTAAGGTGTCTACTTCTCTTTCTTTTTTTTCTTTTTTTTTTTTTTTTTTTTTCTTTTTTTTTTTTTTTTTTTTTCTTTTTTTTTTTTTTTTTTTTTCTTTTTTTTTTTTTTTTTTTTTCTTTTTTTTTTTTTTTTTTTTTCTTTTTTTTTTTTTTTTTTTTTCTTTTTTTTTTTTTTTTTTTTTCTTTTTTTTTTTTTTTTTTTTTCTTTTTTTTTTTTTTTTTTTTTCTTTTTTTTTTTTTTTTTTTGTCGTAGGAGAGGTGGATGACATTAGTCATTCACACATTTGTCACCACTTAGCTGGTCAGCACAAGGTTTTACTCTTGGACCTTCAGACATTGCAGCATTGCAATGCATCTCCTCAGCTGCAGAGACTGTGCAGACCATCAGAACCTGCCCATCTGCTCCCTAGAATTTCTAATTTGTTTAAAGTTTTCTGTCCATAACTTCAAAGTCTGCAGAGCCCTGGGCCCAAAATAACTACAAAATGCCTAAACTGAAGGGAGAAAGATGGTGGTTGAGAGCTATGCTCTTCTAGTGCAGTCATACTCTGTAACAGGGGTGCAGCACGTCGAATGTTGCAAGAGTCTGGTCTTAGTTGCAAGACTAAAATTACTATCCCTCCCCAAAAAAGCGTCATTAATCTTGTCACCTCTCAGTTCAGAAGGAATGCACGTTTTTTTTCTTGACCTATCTTCTCCAACACAAATGTGTATGTTTTGTATCAGCAGACTAACGCTGAATTCTGTTGAAAAGCTTTTAGATACTTTAAGTCAAAGAGCACTGCAATGTTCCTGCATGCTTTGAAAGAAGCTCTTCAGGCAGGTAAACCCCATAAAGAACTACGCCATGTGGCATCAAAATAGTAAGCTATTAAAAAATTTCTGGGTCATTGTTTACCTCATGGAGAAGGAAATTATTTTTATATTTCCACATGATCTGATGACATCATAAACTCAAGAGAAACAAAGACACATGCTTTCTGACATCTTTCTAGGTACCTGTAGTGCAAGTATATTAAATTTGGCTTGGATGGCAACAGTGTCTCCCATGAGGAATTCATCTGGAATCCCTTGTGCTAATGGTAGCATTGCTTTCCATTGCACAGATGTGTGAGGCAAGGCTACCCCTTTAATTTCTTAACGTAGTCTGAAGCACTTTAAATTATATAGTTAGAGAAGCCAGATAGCAGTGTGGGCTCCTGGTAGGCCAGGGAAGACACGATTTGGCTTTGGACTAAAAGCTCTAGTCCTTGATTCAAAAGACTAAGAATCTAGTCATAATCTCTGACGGCTACCTGGTGCCTTTGCTTGTAAAATTAATCGGAATAAACTGGAAATGGTGCACGTAAGCATGCTCAGTTGGCATTTCGTGATAACCAAAACTTGGGATGGCAGCCCAAACACGGGCTGCCTGGGGACGCGTCTGGACAGGGGGTGGGGGAATTGGTCACCGTCCACCTGAATCGGTTTTAGCGCCAAGCGAGGAGGTTTACACGTGCTGAGAATGGGTGTGCTCTGCCTTCCAGGCCAAGTCCACATTATTCAAAAGAGCACACTGCACTGAAACTCATACCTCCTGAGGGCAGTCCTTGTTTACTTTTGGTGAAAAATACTATTTAGAACATGAAGTTGCGTCTTCCTCACTAGAGGCACTGACAGTACAGCGTAGCAATTCATGGCATTAATTGTTGTTAAAAAACAACTAATCCACAGATGATGGAAATGCTGGATGTTGTTGAAGGCTGAATATAAGCTGTCTACTGCTCAGAAAATGCTCCATCAGATTTCTTCTCAGATATTGTCAATTATACCCTCTGTAGCAAAAAAATGTGCACAGTTTACCCTTTCTGTGTCCAACCCAATGTATTCTTGAATCCTACCTCTTAAGAAAGTGCCTTGCAAAACATTAAAAACCTTAGTACAAATTTACATGATTAAAGCAAATTCATCATAAAATGATATATGGTTCATTCTGGTGTCCTCTTGAGGCTCTCTGGGCTTTGCCAAAAAAGACTGCTTATGGAGATCTGGATCTCCTGGTCCCACTAGCTTGCCTGTTCACAGTTCTTTTGACTAGCTGTACCTGGCAGAATTAATTTCATCATGGATACCTCTTTTAAACCCTCTTCCCAGAATGAGTTGTAGGATGTATTCCAACATCTTGGAGGTTCTCAAAACAACAGAAAGCTGGATGCTCTTGAGCAGTGTTTGAGGCTAGGCTGCTTAGATTGAAGTCTAGATTGCCTCCAGGGCTAGAAGCCTGGCACGATGAATTGACTGACCTAGCAGCTTTAAAACAAAGAGCATTTCAGAGAAGTGGTCTCAGAAAAATTTGAAAAGATTTAGTCTTACTTTTGGAAAGATTTGGGACATCGCTAGTGGACAGAAACTATTATATTTTTCTCCTTCACCCTTTTTTCTGCCCCAATCTTCATCTATTCACTCTCCGTCTTCACAAAAAAAAAAAAAAAATCAAAAATATGTATTACTTTTACAATTTCTATTGAAACAAGACATTGCACAGCAAACACCATCTCCCGGGAAGCAAGTAAGAGAACAAGGAACGTATTACAGATTTTAATCGTGACGAATGGTTTCCAGTCGTGCCTCAGGCAAATTCTGCAATGAAAGGTGGAAAGAATCTAGAGACAGTAAGTCTATTAACGTTTCAGATGAGTTTTGAAAATCAGTTAGGTACATTGTTCTGAAAATCCTGTCTCACTGTGCGATAAGTTTCTTCTCGGTGGCACTTGTTGCTACTTGCTGCAGTATCAGGTCCTAAATGTCAGAAGCTCAGTGGGGAGCTGCGGGATTAGGTAGGTCTGTGCCTGTGACTCAATGTATGCAGTATCAGGCTTCTGTGTTAACAGTGTGTGTAGTAAGGAATAAATGTTATCTGATGTTGCTTTAAAAGAAATAATTGCATAATTCAGCAGTTCATGGCACTTCTGAAAAGTGTATGAGTTGCTAATATTACTCTAGGAAAATGAGCCTATGTTTGTAATATGTACACACGTTCATTAGTTCATATAGACTTGTGTGGCATCAGAGCTTGGTCTTTGGGGTTCTTTGTTGGAGTCAATGGGCCCTGGAACATGTCTGAGTTCCCCAGTTGAGCTACGTGTCCCTGCCCCATCCTGTGTTTGTATCAAGATGAAATTCAGAACATTGCCATCTTCTCTCCACTCTGTGCCTCAGCTTTCTGTGAAGCACACAGCCTCAAAGGGTGCTGTGGTGCACCCTCCTGGAGCTGAAGCCACCAGAATACAAACTTTCACTCAATTTAGATAGTAGCTCTGTGACACAAAGCTACCAGTCTGGTCCTTTTTAGAGCTCCAGGATTAAGTTACCAATTCATTCACCTTGCCAAGAGAGACATTCCAAATGTAAGTTATTCTTTTACCTAAGCTTAGGAGGGTGAGGTGTTGGTAATATTAACAGAGCTCTCATTATCTTCTAACAAAGATTTGTCATGTCAGTACTAATTTATACAGTTCAGCAGCAAAAGCTCCTAATGATTCTGTGGACAAAAAGGAATTATGTACTAACATGTACTTTAATTTAATAGCATTAACTCTAGGAAAAGCAATTTTTTGAAATTTTACCCTTAAGCTGTAGTCTCTGTGTTCTCCTATTGCATATTCTGTTTTAACGAAATGTACTGTTTTGTAGTTCTAAAATACATTTAACTCTCACTAACATAGTGTTTGGACATCTGCCAAGTCCACTTTGGAATTTCAACTGATAAAGAGGGTAGCCAACAAGTAGGTGCATATTTGCTATAAATCCAGGGATAGGCTTTGTCATCTAAGATAAGATGAGATAGGTATTGTTTGCATGTCTTCTTCTAGCTTATAATGAGAGAAACATGAATAGAAGAAAGAAAAATTTTCTGTCACAGACTTAGGTTTTAAAAAGTTATTTTAAACCTCATTTTTTGGTTTCTTTTCAATGCAACACTGATTTTAATAAAGAGTAATTAAATTGCATAATCATTAGTTCAGTTTTAAAAATTACATCATCAAATTTATTTCTTGCATTTCTCAAGTCTCCTTCAAACATGTAAGCAAAAACCACAAAAAGCAGATTAGAGTCTCACTGCAGTGAGAAATATGTGGATTCTTCTCTCTTTCTTCTTGGAAAACTCTGCATTCTGACATAAATAGTTTGGGTTTGAATTTCAAATAAGCATACATGAATGTTTGACTTTTGACTTTCAAAAAAGCATATACCAATGTTTATGCATCAGTCTTCACAGTAATCTGAAGTGTTTAAACTTTAGAAGGATGGATCTTTTGGGTATTCAAATATTCTTTGCCTGCAGTTAAATGATAAAAGTTCAATAAGTACAGTTTGCATATGGCTTGAAAAGTTTTTTTTTCTAGGTTCACTCATACATAACTTGTATCACTGGCATTCAGTGAATTGTAGCTTGCAGTAGAAATGAGGAATGTTACCTCTTTAACTGTAAAATAACTGTGTCACATATGCAGTAAGCATGAAACACGCAGTGGACTAATGGGACTTGTTATTGATGATGCTGAAAGCTAAATAACCATTAGTATTAAATCTTATGAATAGACTCTTGTCTTTCATCTTACCTCTTCAACCAGATAAAAGACACAGAGGCTATTTAGATGTCATAAGAATAGTTTGTTGAAATCCCTCTGGACTTAGGAAAAAAAAAAAAATCTCTCTTCATGTTGCTTAGTGGTTTGTTGCGTTCAAAGAAATGCCGGTATGCTAGTGCTGAAAGAAGAATAGAACAGAAATCCAGCATTATGTGTGGTTTTAGGCTTGTTAAAGATGCTGTTGAGTTGAAATAATGTGCGTCCTTTTTCTGCAGAAGTCATTTCACCAGATTTAAAAAATACACAGAAAAGTCACTAACATTGAAAACTTGCAAGAAGCCTTGTAAGACCATATTATAGGAGCACTGTGAATTTTTGTATTTTTCTAGTTTCATTTCTTAGACTCTAACAAATTTTTTTAAGTGGTTGTAAAAATTTAGAAATATCTGAATAAAAGCTTTTTTACAAAGATGTTAACTTTATTTAAAGCCTCTATTCACCTAAGCGTAAAGGTTTTTAAAGATTTAACTAACAGCGTTCTCAAGTCTAATAGTAAAATACATCAAAGTTGGCTGTAAATTGTACTCATCTTTCATGCAGAATATTTAGAAGCAGAACATAATACACAGTGTTACCAGTTGACGTGGAAGAATTATTCAGCTCTGAGATTCTGTGTGATAGCTTTGGGAACAGTAATTAAATTGCAAGTACGTCTTGTGAAATTCTAGTTCAAAAAAATATTTCCAGATTTGTGGTTAATAGATATTAATAATCATGCAATGCATAATAATTAATCATACAGTTTTTTGTTTTATAGGGCGCAGAACTGGAAGGCTCTGGTGTTAATACTATGTTGCTGGTACATTTCTTTGGAAAAGAAGGAAAAGAAAAACTTCGCTATTCTGAGTTTTTCAGGTATTTTTTCAGCTAGGCAAGCCTAACAACAGCCAGTCCTGCTCTATCCCCTCTGCTTTGCACTAGCACTGGCATCAATCTGACCCACACTGATCTGATTCAGAAAGTTAAGCAGGTAATGAAGCAGGAGATATTCATGATTTTGCATGATTACATTTCTAGTTTAGCTCCTGTGGTCTGCTATCTGCAGGAGTGGAGCACCATGGTAACTCCAAAGTAGCAATGGGCCTGGAGGCCATGAGGCTTGAGACTACCTACCATTCTTGGAAGCTGTTTGATGGCATACCTTAAGGCAATGTGATTCGTTAATATTTTTCTTGATCAAATCTCCAAAGAAGTGACTGCTAATCAATTAAAAAACCTTTTCTGAGCTGAGACACCTCCCTCCCCGTTGCAACTAGCATGGTGGGCCACAGGCAGCTTCTCTGCTTGTTTCAAATTCCAACTTCTGTTGGAACTTTACCTGTGCCTTTTTCTTTACCCTTTGAACTACTTTTGCAATGGGACTATGCAGATACCTCGTGGCCCTTATGTCAGCACTGAATTGAGCCAGATGGTAAACACCAATTCGGACTGAAACTGCAGTGGAACCAAGTTGCCATTACTCCCAGAAACGTAGTGCTGTATACCCATCAGTTTCACTGTAAGCTTTGCAAAATCAGAAGTTAATAGAAAGTTCTAAGACTGGTGTGGGAAAGAGTTCATACACGTATACGTCATATACTTGTCAGAAAGATGATGTAATCCTTGTCTACATCAGAGCGTGAAGTTCTGCTATGGTTGCTTTCAACTTGAAAAACCAACCAGGTATCAGCTGTTAGTGTTTTAATTGGATGAGATTCTTTCTTCCAATGTGTATTTTAATCAGTAATGATGACCACCGCCTACATAGCATCACAACTTAACTGGTTAAACTCTCTGTTACTTGAGAGATCAATTTCTTCTGTTAATATGAACTCCACACACCTCTTGCAATGTGAACTCGGGCCCAGAATCCAAATGCATTTATTTCTTTGAGATAAATGGAAGTTAAGTACCTAAATACCTGTGTGAATCTTGACACACATTTTGCAGCACAACATCAAGGGAAGATTACCTACATCAGTATTAGCTTTTCTACAAAAATGATCAGTCATTTACAGACTGCAAAAATAAATCAGGATAATATGTTTTACTTCAGTTTATGTTCAGAAGCAGAGGGTCTCTGTCAGCCCTCTTAAAAATGAATGTTGTTGCAATCAGTAAATGTTTGGGGTAAGCCAGAGTAGAAAAGGAAGAGTGGCAATTTTTCTAACACTGAAAAGTGTTCGGCTCCGCTGGCTCTGGCACACACCAGTCTTCAAATAAACAACCTTTCTCTTTTGAAGACCTTGACTCAATAGGAATCTAAGTGAGTAAAATAAGTTTAAGATGCCTCCAGCTCCCTTTTCTATAAATACCATAGATCCTCTCAATGAAACAAAAGGCAGAGAGCACCAGTAAAAGGTTGTGTTTGCATATACAGTGTAAACTGAAAAGCCTCAGGTTTTAGATAAAATCCTACATTGACCCAATGAGGCATGACATTGATGAAACTATGTACCTAGTACATTCAGAACGTGTAGGTTAAAGACCTTTGCCTACCACACAGATAGAGGCCCGTAATCAAAATCAAACTCCCACATCTTGCTCTTAGAATTTGTGGGATAAGTGTAAGGTTTAATGCAGGTAATTTTTCAGCAGTGGCAGTTATGTTTCGTAGAGCTGGAATGTGGCTCTTTATCACTGCGTAGACACTCCATCTCAGTTGCAACGTGACAGTGAAGTTTGTTTAACACACAGAAAGGTGAATAAAAGGATCACTGTCTTTTTAACCTGTGTGAAGATATCACCTTTCACATGATTTTATTTGCAAGTAAATCAAGCACATCATTTCTGGGTGCCTATTGTTCAGAGAAAATGGGATTTCTATCTGATGGCCTCTCATAACATTTTACCTTATGCGGGAAGCTATTGTTGGCTGTTTGATCAAAGTGCCACGCTGTTTTTACAAGAGATGACTGATGAGCTGTACAGACATAGATCATTGTCAAAAGCAGAAAATAATGATGGTAAATGCTTTTATCATTTTCCAAGTTCTTGCCTAGAAAGCTTTTCCATTGATCAGTGTAGTACCTAGTAGAAAGTAGGGGTGATTAGGCTTGATTAGGACACACTAAAACTTGTCACATTAGTTAAATACACAGATATTGCTGTGCCGTAGAGTCCTTGAAACTGAAAAAAAAAAAGAAAAAGGCAGGAATGCTTTCTTTGTGAAATTTCACTGTACTTACATGGGAATTCAGAAAGCTGAGACTAGTGTTCTCACTTCATTACTTACATATATTTTCCTCATGCTTCCTCCTTTTCAGTTTGGCTGACATTAAAAAATCCTTTTGTTACTGTGCAACGATCTGTATCTACATGTACACCAACGTTGTCTGACCCTTTTAGCCCACAGTCCAAACATTTAAAAAATGTCAGACAACCTCAGTCAATATATCAGGGCAATGAATTTGCCCTCTTCTCTGTTCTTTGATATAAGGAGGGAAAATGGTTAAGCATGCTCTGCTCCATCAGTTTCCACGTGGTGCATGGTTCTTGAGAAATCATAGGTAGGTGATACACATAAGGACAATCCCCTGGCTGTTTTTTACAGGACATAAAGAATGAGAATATCGGATCATTTTTCTACCTTTCTTGGGCTGCTGGAAGCATGGAAGTAAAGAAGTGACCTTTTCATAGGTATTTTGTGACACCAGTCAAACTCTTTTCTCACTATCCTCCAGAACATAGTCAAAACAGCAATCAAAGCACTCCTTTTCATTCTGTGCTGAGCAGCGGTGGTGGGACCCCTGCGTCTTTCTGCATCTTCTCCTGAGACTGCTTAGAAGTAGTGGAAGCAATCCAGGACACACACCATCCTATGTCTTTCCAGTAGTAACGAGGTGGTTTCAGAGATCTTAAGGTAGGGCACATGAACACATGTTCAGCTCCAGAACACTACGTGATTTCTTGCCAGTTATATCGTCCTTAACATACGGACAATATGATAATTGTTAATACTAGTTCACAACTTCAAAAGCAATAGCTTGTTTCCCTAGCAAAAGTTAGAAAATTTAAATGTAAATTATTCCAGAGTGTGTTTATGTACATCACCAACAGAAGTGTTACCTCCTAGTTAAATGCAGCTGGAATCATTATTTTCCTGTATCAGTTTAAGAAAATATAAAACAATACTCAGCAAGCCTAAAACCTTGTAACAAAGAAGGATTTAATACAGGGAGCTGTAACCAGGTGAGGCTTTATTCTCAGAAGACCTGAACAAGTTTCTGTTTCAGATGACCACCACTCAGTTTTACACCTCAACAACATCAGCTTCTGATACCAGGACCTATCTTAAAGAATGTCGGATTTCAAACTTGGAGCCAGAAATTCTCTGGGATTACAGGCTATTTCTTCTTTTGCATGGGTTTCCCATGTTTTTTGAGACAAAAGATTTTTGGTCTTTTCTGCTCAAATAGTGTTTCGCTTGTGCTTTAATTCCCAGCTATATTGTATGTACTGTTTTTTATTCTGAGTAGAAAACTATTTCATTTTCTAGGTATAGCAAATATTTCTCCTTGACAGCCACTGGTTTTTTTCCCTGAAAAAAAGTCCCCTACTGATCTTGTTTAAGTATGTCTAATCCCAAATAAAAGAGGAGACAGTAATTCACTCCCTAAACAGTTTACGACTGCTATGATTTTTTTTCTGTAATCTGTCCCCAAGCAAGCTTAAATCTCTCACAATGTCCTTGAAGGAAAAAAAAAAAAAAAAAAAAAAAAGGGCAGAGGGTATAGAAAGAATATTAAAAAAAAATTCTGATCATTGTATTTTTTTCCTGGGATGACTTACAAAAAAGTACGTCTTGGTGTGGTTAAACAATGGGCATCTTTTAATCATATAAGGAAAATTAACATTTCAAATCCAGTTCATGGCATTTTCTTACCTCGTTTGTTGCTTCCAAACTTCTCATGAGTTTTTTGCACCAGAAATATTCTTTAATCATGGTTTCTTTTTCATTTTCTGCTTTAGCTTAAAGGTCATAAATTGTGCAACCATACACAAAGCATGCCTTTTCCCTACCTGTCCTGTTTCTTTACTTCAGTATTTTCAATTCCTTGGTATATTTCATTTGAAACCTTTCATTTAAGAAACCAGAGTGATCCAGGCTGAGCCATGCTGCTAGTGCTGACATTTGTCTGGTGCCATTCTGTGTTTGTGCCAATGTGTGGATGCAGAATCTCTTTCAGGTACCATCACCAGCCAGAAGCACTTTCGCTGTGATGACAGCTTGTATGTTTTCAGTGATTTTCATCTAGGGATTTGGAAGTAGTTTGCAGAAATAGAGTATAATTGCCTCTATATTTGTCTCTGTACCTACACTTCGATCTATGTATATAGAGCCCTAATCCACATAGACATTACATCTCGTGCAGACAGAATCAGACAATAAAGAAGTGGAGATGGGAACAAAGTCTGGCTTCACAATTGTATATTCCTGTCATAGCAGAATCTGAATATTTCCCAAATATTTAGTAAAGATCTTGAGAAGAATCTCTGTTTCTTCCTTTCCTATATACTTAGCAAAGGAATAGCTTGATTAGTTTCTACTGAATACTTATAAATGAAAGTGAGCACTTTTCTTTGGTTTGGAAACATTGAGGACAGTAAATCAAAGAGGGTTTTGCTTGTAATTCTGAAAATGGTGAGATTGATTAACTGTCTTGCTGCTTGCAAAACTGAATTTACAAGCATAAATCTAAATGTTCTCTAAAGATTAATGGTCAAGCCCTTATTAGATGTTCTGTATTCTCCTTTGAAAGTCAGATTGCAAAAAGGCAACCTTGCAGCTGGTTTGCCACAGTCTTTTGGTGCAGAGAGGGTTGTCATGTCTTTGAAAGGACTTCAGTGTCCAAAGAGGAGCCAAAGCAGACTACAAATGCCAGGGTGGTATATCCACCACCTTGTTGCTGAGTTTCTTTCCTATAAATCAGTGCAACAAGAACTGCTCAGTTCTGTATTAAGAGTGTTAAAGCTCTGAACAAACTTTCAGTTTAGGTCAAGAGGTATAGGAAGGAAAACCTTCCCTAACTTTTCCTTGTGTGATTCATTCTATGACTTTGTGTGCTGTAAGGAATACAACACTAGTGCTTAATTGCAACAGCTGAGGTTGGAGGTGGAATAGCTGCATTCCTGAAGTCTCCCCACTTTTATTACATTTTCACTTCTATTAAAGCTGAGTTGCCAAAAGGTCTTGAGAGACTCCCTCTTTCTATAGTGGAGCACATTACAAAATGAGGGATAAATCCTGATAAGGTTTCTGGATACTGTTGTAACTTGATAATGAATTTGGCCATTGGCCTTCAACGTGGGTGTTTTAGAGAATGTGGATAGAACAAGCTATCTTAAAGAAAGTACTCTCTGTTCCCAGCCTTTTCCCCATCTTATAAATGTATGAATTACCTTTCCATTTTGTTATTTGAAAACTTAGAGTTTGCTTTTATTTTCAAGCTAGTATAGCATAAGAATATTCCCAGTGTAATAATTTTTAAATTGTAGAGCACATCTACAACCAGAATCCAGTTCCCATAGTCGAGTTCTGGCTCCCTTCAAAGTCCCCGGCCAAGCTCCCGCTGACTTTTGAGAAAGGAGGAATTTCATTCCTATGCTTGTTTTTCCTCATATCTGGAGAAATTTTTAAGGAATTTCCAGCTGAAACTCTTCACACCATTATCCAGAAGATACAAAAGCAAGTATCCCTAGTGGTGTCTTGGCCTTAAAGTAACGAGTTTTACTTTCTAACTAGAAAGTTATTTTTAATAACTTTTAATAAGTTCACTTAAAAAAACTCATTAGGATTTTTAACTCTCACATCTGGGAATAAGAGTGACCTAGAATGCTGATGTGATGATTCATAGTATTTTAATTTTTGTAATATGGGAGGCTATCACATATAAATTTTAAATTACACATTTCAGCTGCTGCTCCACGTAGCATTTGGTACGGCAGGAAATCTTCCCACTCTGGTTTGCCAGGAGCGAGCCTACAAGTTGAAATGAAATATCCGTTAATTTTTTTGTACCTGAATAAGTAATTCCCGCTCCTCTCCCTAATCTGTGTACTGCAGCAAGATTCATGGCTCCTGAGCCACAGGAAGGGTGCAGTGTCATTGCCCCAAAGCAACTGGAGAAGGCAAGAACCCAGGCTGGAGAAAAGGTGGTGGAAAACACACAGTGGAGCCCCCAAAATAAAAAATTTCATTCACTGTCCGAGTAGAAGAGGGTGCAGAAGCAAGAACACATCAAAATGCCACAGCCAAACACTTCACCTTCGTCTTTGGCTTTGCTGCACTGGGCCACCCGCACCTTCCTCAGCATGTAGAAATGCTTGGTCTTTCAGCTGTCCTGCCTTTATTGGGTATGGCTAGAGGGCAGGTCACTGAGGGTTTTCTGCTTAGGGAAGTGCAGTATTTAGAAAAGATGGAAAAATACGTAGTTTGTTATCACCTGTGGTTACTGAACAGTACAGCGAATGACTGAGAGTTAGCTCCCTAAGATAAATAACTCATACTTTCAGTAACAGACCTTAAGTCTGTTGCAAAATGTGTCCACCTTTCACAGATTAAAAGCCAAGAAAATGAAATGCATGGTATCTCCTTTCTCTACATCCACATTTTAGGCATAGTTCTGAAAGTGGCTTCATTTTCAGCAGCTTCTCCTCCCCCAGACCAGACGTTTCATGGATTGGAAATGACAGTGAAAGATGCAGTTACTGTTCTGCGTGGTCTTTGCTGTGACTTCCAGCCAAGCACAAGCCATGCATCCCAGATACCATCTACTCGTTGCCCCTGATGGCCACTCCCAAAATGCAGCCAAGTGGCCCTAGTCAGTCTCTGCCAGCCTGACTCCATGCCTGGTCCATGCTGGTCTCTCTCTTTCCTGTGCCAGGATCTGGGAAGGTTCTTGCAGGCAGTGGGGCAGGACTGGTTCTGCTAGCCCACGCTGGCCGGTCTCCCCAGCACTTGCAGACTGCTGGGCTGGCCAGAGGCAGCAGTCACCTCAGGCATTATGAGGACAGGAGCTGCATCTGAAAAATGAAGAGTGCTTTTCAAGCTGTGCAAGGACACTCTCACTGGTCTGTAGGACCAGGGGTCTCTCCTTTGCACTGGTGGCACAAACAGGTCCTTGGGTCCTTTAGTATTTCATCCCCTTGCGAGGGGGAGAGTTGGGGGACTTGAAAGTGAGCCAGGTCTTAAGGTAGACTGTGGAGGAATATAACTGAGTGTTTGACTGTGTTGTGACAGCCTTGTAACACCCTTTACTGGACCAGAAGGATGCCCATATAAAATGTGAGAGCACATCATACCCCTCCTCAGTATTACCCTAATAAAACTCTAGCCTGAAACGTAAAATCACTTCCACCGCCAGGCTTTCATTTACCTGTATGTCCTGAGCCATGAAGCATTTGTTGGCCCTTTATTTGCACGTGCAGCTCTAATTATTAGAGGAAAAACTACAAGAGTGAGCTTATGCTGCAACAGCAGTCTTCAGCTAACCCCTTATAGACTTCACAGAGCTTCAAGCTACTAATTGTCCAAGTGATCTCATTAAAGAACTAAAGATAGCTGTGCGGACTGAAATGCTGTAATTTCAGGGGAAAGCACTGAAATCCAGCGAGGCCGTGCAAACACTGATGAGCAAATGAGCCTCTACTGATACTTGCTACATAGACCCTTAGCTGTCCTCTTCTTCAGCTAATTGCTTTGTCCCAGTAAAGGAGTATTTCATTCTCTCCTGTCAATAACTTTTGTAACTCAATAAAGCAGGTTTCTTTCGAAGTGCTAACGGGATTCTGGCAAGCATCACTGTGCTTTTAGCCTTTATTATATTTTTAAATTATCACGTGTTTTTGGGTTGCTTCATTGCTGAAGTGGAAATTACCAAATGGATCGCACAGTATTGTCTCTCACTTTCTCAAAATTCCTATCAGGCCAGAATAAATTGTAATGGCCACATAGATCTACCTGGGGAAACTCAAAGCTACAACTCTGGTTACAGTTTTAGCTCTGTACTAGTTGTTACTTGCTTCTCCTGCTCCCTTTTTTTTTTTAATTCCTAAAAGAATGGGCGTCTCCTGAAAACCTTGATGTTCACCCTTTCCTTTTTCAGGCAGCTCTCTTCTTACCTTCCCAAACACCTGCAGCATCATTTTCGGTACTCTTCCAAACTCTGTATGTGTCAGTTGTAATCCTCTCTAATCTCTCCTGTAGGGAGCGCAGAATTGATTTGCCAAACCCCTCTTTGCAGTTATAATCTTGGAGGGTTTCAGTCATCTTTTCTTGCAGTGATGATTTCAAGTTTCCTCTTTTCTTTCACCTTTCTGATTATTAGGGCCTCATCTTTCTAGGCACTTTCCAACCTTGTCATTCCTCTCTTATTAATATGAAATTTCATAAATCATGTGTCAGGCCTTTAGTTACTATGTCCTTTTTCATCCATTCATTATAATACTGACTTACCAATCATTTTATCTCATTATCTTCACATTTTTAAACATTAGTAAAAGCTATATGCCAGGTAGATCTGGAAATTATTTTAGCAGCAGCAATCTATGAATGCAGGCTTAGAGAGCACCCTACTGGTGTCAGTATTGAAATGCAGTCATGGGGAAAAATCTGCACACACAAATAAAAGTAAAGCAGTGACATTTTAAAGAAATATATTGATAGTATCTGTGATTAAGAGTTAGTGTCTACTGCATTTAATAGCTAAGGTAGTAGTAGGGATACAGTGACGCAAGTATCAGCTGTTGGATAATATCTGTTTACACTTACAGATTCATGGAAAATCTGCAAACAGAGGTCCAGGAAATGGAATTCATAAAGTTTTCAAAGGGCTTGAATGTCATGAGAAAAGAAGACTTTGCAGAATGGTTACTGTACTTCACCGATGAGGAAAACAATGAAATTTACTGGCAGAATGTGAAAGACAGAATTGAGGCAGGAGAGGTCAGTACATAAAGCATGCTTTGATTTGCTTCCTCGATTGTATGTACAGGTTTTCATTTCCATATAAGTATCTAATAATATAACTAGTTTCCAAGTGAATTATATCAGCTTTGGAATTTTATGCGAATAAGAACAATGTTAATGTGCCAACTGAGAAATACAAATATTGACGATGAGTAAGCAAACACAACTAAACACTACATCCCACCACATTTAATGAAGCAGATCTACTTGTATTTGAATTTATCACTCATTATATATCATCTGAATTCTGTGATACTCTAGAATATCAGTTTGGAAGAATTCAAGACTTTCTGCAAGTTTACAAACAACCTGGAAGACTTTTCTATTGCCATGCAGATGTTTACTGTAGCCAATCGTCCTGTTAAACGGGGTAAGTGCTGCACACCTTTTGTATGTTTTTTTTTAAAAAAAAAAAAGAAAAAAAATGCATTTTTGTTATGGAATTACAGCAAATAAGTTATCCCAAAGTAGCACTGTGAAGTTCAAAAATAGAATGCTGCTCTTTATTCTGAATTAATTATTGCAAGAAAAAAATGTAAAGTTCCCCAAATGTTTTGATTTGTAAGTTCTGATGTGCTGAACCGCTCACAGCAGAGTAAACCATAGAATCATGGAGTAGTTTGGGTTGGAAGGGACATTTAAAGATCACCTAGTCCAACCCTGCACTGCTATAGGCAGGGACATCTTTCACTAATTGCTCAAAGCCCTGTCCAGCCTGACTTTTAACACTTCCAGGGATGGGGCATCCACAGCTTCTCTGGGCAACCTGCTCCACTGTCCCACCGCCCTCATCGTAAAAAGTTTCTTCTTTATGTCTAGTCTAAATCTTTTGTCTCTCAGTTTGAAACCATTTTGCCTTATCCTGTCATTACAGACCTTGGTAAAAAGTCTCTCCATCCTTATTATAAGCCCCTTTTATGCCGCAGTCAAGTCTCCCCAGAGCCTTCTCTTCTCCAGGCTGAACAACCCCAACTCCTCTCAGCCTGTCCTCATAGGAGAGGTGCTCCAGCCCTCTGATCATCTTCGTGGCCCTCGTCTGATCTCGCTCCAGCAGGTCCATGTCCTTCTTGTGCTGAGAGCTCCAGAGCTGGATGCAATACTCCGGGTGGGGTCTCACCAGAGTGGAGTAGAGGGGTAGAATCACCTCCCATGACCTGCTGGCCACGCTTCTTTTGATGCAGCCCGGGGTACAACTGGCTTTTTGAGCTGCAAGCGCACTTTGCCAGCATGTGCCCCATGTTTCATTCACCAGTACCCCTGCGTCCTTCTCCATAGGGCAGCTGTGAATCCAATCTAAATTCTAGATTAGGAAGGATCTATTGAAACAATACAAGCTTTAGTAGCAGTTCATGGTAACAAGGCTTCTTTCCCATTAGTAGAAATAGGAGCAATGCAACGAAAGTTTCATGGACATTCAAATGCTGTTTGCTATAATCCTGAGGTTGCTACTTACTTGTTACACTTGAAAGGCAACTCTCATAAGTTATTTGAAAACAGTGACATAAAAAGTTCCTAAGGAAATTTGATGAGACACTAACATTAATGGAAAAAAGTATTTGATGGGTTCCTGGGGAAAAGCTGAGAGAAATGTGAGAAGACAGGAAGGGAATTCATTATTCTTGAGACAGAAATGTTTGGATGGGACTTGAACCAAAGAAGGACAAAAACGTTTGGGGGGGGTTACAGCTTAGGACTTTCATCACTAGTTAGTCCAGCCTTCAGTTTTGCCTCCACAGCCTCTCCGGGCGGCTGTCCTAGTGCTTAACCACTCTCATCATGAAGACTTTCCTGTGTCAAACCCTTGCTGCAGCTTACAATGATTGTGTCTTACCTCCATGAGAGACTTGTGTGCGTCTCTTCTCTATAACCCCTTTTAAGTAGTTGAATGCTTCAGCAAGATCCCCCCTTACACTTTTGTTGTCCCCAGCTCCCTCACCTTCTCTTCTTCCATCACGTGCTCCACTTCCCAGCTGGGTTTGTGGCTCTCCTCTGCCTAGTCTGACAACAGCTTTCTTCTGTGTGGGGAGACAGATTTTATTTGCACAAGGTGTAGAAAGAGTAGAGAGAAAAGAGAATGAATTAATGGTGAAATAATAGTTATAAGTGAGATATGAGAGTTTAGCTCAATTCTCTGTTACCACATTTTTAAAGCGCCAGGATGATGAGGCCAACAGTTGGTGTTGACTCTGGTAATGATTCCTTGTGAAAACTCATTCCTAACCAACAGGCAGTTGTGACTGTTTACACACTGCACCATACTGTGATCAAAAACAGTCAGCTTCTGAGATAACTCATGGATATTACATGTATACATGTCTAATCCTTTCCTGAATCTCACTAAATTCTATGTCTTGCTCTTTGCATGTCTATACATGTGTGTATTCACACACATATGAATATTTACCTAAAAATAAGACAGTCCTTTAGTCCTTCCTTTTATTCTAGACGTTTTTCTTCTAAGCTGGCAGCTCATCTTTTCTCTCTGATAAGGTGGCCCTTCTTAGTTTGAAGATTATTATGCTCCACCATTTTACAAGATTTTTCTCCTTCGTGTTCTGTTCCAAAAAGTGCAGTACCATCTCTGGGTTTATATTTAGCTTCAAGAGCCGAAACAGTTAACACCTTTTTAAAGGCAAAATTAAGACTCTACTATAAGTATCCCATATTTCTTGTCCTTCTCAAATCATGGTATGTCCTTTTATGGAAGAATTTTCAACTTAATTATATTTAAACGAACTGTAAATTAATCAGCTGCATTTTTACAGGAATTGTTCAAAGAGGCAAAGATGAGAGCTAAGTCAGGAGTGCTCTTTCCTCCAGTAAGCTTCAGAACTAATATTTATAACATGATTTATAAACAGCACTTGTTTATGAAGCAGAACCACATTTTAACTGTTATTTCTGACTTAGTTGGAAAACTTGCTATAATAATCTACAATACTGCTACACCTTAATAACCTCCAGTCCCTCCTTGAAATACACACTTCCATGATGCCTTCAAAAATGCATCCCATTCATGTGTTGTGATTGTGCTTGCTATAATAAACAATAATCATTTGACTCTTACTATCTTTGTGACACCAAGCTGTGTGGTGGTGTCGATACACCAGAGGGATGGGATGTCATCCAGAAGGACCTGCATAGGCTGGAGAGGTGGGCCCAGGTGAACCTCATGAGGTTCAACAAGAACAAGTGCAAGGTTCTGCACCTGGGCTGGAACAATCCTTGCCATCAGTACAGACTATGGGGTGAGGTATTAGAAAGCATCCCTGAGGAAAGGGACTTGGGGGTGCTGGTGGACGAGAAGCTGGACATGAGTAGGCAGTGTGCAGTTGCAGACCAGAAGGCCAATCACATCCTGGGCTGCATCAAAAGATGCATTGCCAGCAGGTCCAGAGAGGTGATTCTTCCGCTTTACTCTGCTCTGGTGAGACCTCACCTGGAGTATTGTGTGCAGGTCTGGAGCCCTCAATATAGGAAAGACATGGACCTGATGGAGCGGGTCCAGAGGAGGGCCACGAGGATGATCAGGGGGTTGGAGCACCTCTGCTATGAGGACAGGCTGAGGGAGCTGGGGTTGTTCAGCCTGGAGAAGAGGAGGCTCCAGGGAGACCTAATAGCAGCCTTCCAGTACCTGAAGGGGGCCTACAGGAAGGCTGGGGAGAGCCTGTTTACAAAGGCCTGCAGTGACAGGACGAGGGGCAATGGCTTCAAGCTGGAGGGGAGCAGATTTAGACTGGAGATTAGGAGAAAGTTCTTTACTGTGAGGGTGGTGGAGCACTGGAACAGGTTGCCCAGGGAGGTGGTTGAGGCCCCATCCCTGGAGATATTCAAGGTGAGGCTCAGTGAGGCCCTGGGCAACCTGGTCTAGTTGGGAGTGTCCCTGCTGACTGTGGGGAGGTCAGACTAGATGACCTTTGGAGGTTCCTTCCGGCCTGGATAATTTTATGATTGTATGATCTGCTGGTTTATGTCAACCCCACACCTTTCCTTATCTTCCTTGAGTCAAATTCTTTCCTCATTCTTCACACCACAAGACCAGAATTGGGGGTAGTAGGTATTACTGTAATGCATATGGTAGTGAAAAGAAAGAAGACCAAAAAACTGAAGAGGAAAGTAGATCTCCAGAGAGGTATGACAGCTTTTTCTGCCAAAAATCCTCATAAACTCTTCCATCATAATTTAAGGGAAGGTACCATACTTTTTTAACAAACGGAACTAGAGGTATATAATGCTATGGGCTGTAAACAGTGCATTGAGTATTGATGGTCTGTGCCCAGAGTTGCTGAGGGCATTATTGGTTGAGGGGGAGCATATCGTAAAATACTGTTCTCTGAGGAGAAGAGTTTTCTTGCAGAATGAATTGGCATGAAACTGGCTCAAGATAAAATGGTAGTATTTTTTATGAGACTGTAGTGAGGCAAACACTTACCATCCATATGCACAGGTATCAGCCAAAAGTATGTAAGTTTTTGGCATACAGTTATTTCTAACAAAAATTACACTCTGACTGTTGCTTGAGAAATAGTGCATTTCAAGTGTTTATCATACAATTAATAAAGATAGCATTATGAAAGATGAAGCAAGCTCAAGAATGCATGAACTGAGGCCTCCTAATAGTTTACTAGCTCACACATCACAAATTCTTCAGTTAGGGTTCCCATGAGACATCGTAAATAGAATCCTGCTATTTATGTGCTTTCCAATTTCTTTACAAGTTCACAGTCACCTGTGATGTAATGTTGTGTCTTTACTAGCTGAGTTCAAGAGAGCAGTGAAGGTGGCAACGGGACAGGAGCTCTCAGATAACGTTTTGGATACCATCTTCAAGATTTTCGATCTAGATGGAGATGACTGCCTCAGCCACAGCGAGTTTCTTGGCGTCCTGAGGAACCGAATTCATCGAGGTTTGAGGGTAACAAGCTAACATCACTTTTTTTAAATACCACGCATGATTGCTACAACTATCTTACAGAGGTAATGAATAGGAAGAAGTTACATTTTAAACCGGAGATTCCTTACTGCTTATGAAGCTGGGAGGAGTGCTGCCACCGAGAACTTGTTATGATGCATGTGAACGATGGGAGCAGCAGCATTGCATTACAGATTAGATTTACACAATCTGTGACTAAGAGTTGTTTTTGTGTAAGTGCTAAACGTACTTGTACTTTATTAACAGGTACCGCAACAGCAAGGCGTTCAAGGTTACTGGAAGTGTGTGAAAAGAGAAAGCATTAAAGGAGCCAAAGAAGTGTGGAAGCAAACTGGGAAAAGTCCTTTTTAAAGCAGTCCATTGTTCTTATGCTACAAATGTTGTTATTTAGTGGGTTTTGTCTGTCCTGTTTACATAATAGCCGAATCAAAAATACTCTTTTTTTTTTTACTATAGTTAAACTTTAGTTAACCCAGATTCTAATGCAATGATTTTGTATCGTCCTAGTGCAATCAGTTTGGTTTACAGAACTATTGTCACTTTTGACCTCCATGCGGAAATACCCTTTTTCTAGGGAACACTGTTGTTTACTCCTCTGTGGAGTCTGACCCTGTGCTGTAGCATACACAATACACAGAATTTAATAGTGGCCGCTGGCAGGAACATCACAGCAATATCCTCTCCTGTTGGAAAAGTGGACGTTATCTCGGCCACTAACACAGCAGTTCTCTTTCCCTAGCAAGGAGAGAGGTCCAAAAGGTGAAACCACTTGCACAATGCACGCAAATCAAGTTATCCTAGATCAAAAAGGAAAATTCACATGGTTCATTTCTGTGAACTGCTCATGTGCTAGTTCCTGGTGGATGGTTCCACCAGATCCTGTGTGTATGTCTGATTTGTCTGCCTTCATGATGATAATATTAAACTGGAAATACAAGGCTGTTGATACAGGCTTTAAAAGTTGTACATTGATCTGTGAACGTGCATTGAGTCTCTCAGATGTCTTCAACAAATAGTAAAAATGAGAAGCAAAAACCTTCATTCTATCATAAACAGCAGTAGCTACAATTTGGGTCATAACCATTTTGCTTTAATTGTATCGCAGAAGGTGAAAGTGTAACAAATAGCTGCTTTGTCTTACTAAAGGTTGTGACAGGGAATGCTGCAGTATCTCAGGAATTTAAGGTTATAGTAAGCAAGTGTAAAAAGTGAAAAAGTAAGTAAAAATGTTTATTACTCCAAAATGCAAAGTTAGATGAAAGATCTTAAATAGTAAGCCAAAAAACCAATCAATTTTTACACTGAAAGGGTTATTAAGCATTGGAATGGGCTGCCCAGGCAAGTGGTTGAGGCACCATCCCTGGAAGTATTTAAAAGACGGGTTGACATAGTGCTTAGTGACATGGTTAAGTGATGGTTTTTTATCAGAGTTAGGTTGATGGTTGGGCTAGATGATCTTAAAGGTCCCTTCCAACGTAGACAATTCTATGATTCTATCAAATCATGTTTATCTATCAAATCAAATTTAGCAATTCTAGATGAACATTTTTTAGCTGTAACATAGTGTGCATCTATGTATACACCGATACGCATGTTACATGTTTTTTCTTATAACCTTAGGAGCCGATAGTCCCAGGTCCACATCAGTCTTCCTGGTTGGCCACTATAAATGGGAGATAGACTTATCTGTAAAGCTCTCAAAGTTCTTCCTCTTTCCCTCTCCCAGTTGCCTGGCTTGTCTTGGCTGGGGTGAAAGCTTAACCTTTCAAAAGAGGTTTGTGATAACAGATTCAAAAGATGGACCGGGGAAATTTCTCAAGAAAAACAACCAAGAAATCTCACCACTCTGTCAGAAAGTATCCATCCCTTATAAGCGTGACACTAGCTGTGTTATTCTCAAAGTTGGATGGATATAAGCTCAACGGGATGTGTTTTGTTGTAATTTCTTTGGGGTTTAGTGGGGGGTCCTTGAGAAGAGGGGAACCTTCCATGACAAATAGATACCAGAGCAGCCCAATCACTCAGGTGAGGGGCAGGAGGGGCTGCATTAGGAAACCGTAAAGATAGCACCAGCTAAGGAGTGCTGAGATTAGAGAGATATATTTGGTATGTCCGTAGCCATTAGGCAGGTTTATGCTGAGGAGGAATCCTCCTGCACAAGCCTCAGCTTTAATTTAAATTGTGTTAAAGAGAAAATGCTTGTATTCTTGGCATCTGTGGACACGCACCCACAGTCATCCACCAGAACAAGAGTACGTCCTGAGGCTGTCTAGAAGATCAGGCAGCAGTGATCACCAAGGATCCCTTTACTTCCCCAGGAAGCAATCAGAAAGAAATGAAATGTAAATGCCTTAGCTTTCCCCCCTCAAACTGAACTTGTGCACTGCTCTGGGGGCAACGGGGAATTAGATAGATGGTTTCTTTGTGCATTTGGCGGTCGCTTGTGTCTTCTGGTGATGGGAGCTGGGAGAAAGGTGGGGCACTGGGACTGGCATCAGAGTACCACACCCGGCTTCACGTCTCCAAAGAGTGAAGGACACAATCACACAAGGCACATCTGTGTTCACCCAAAGCGTGCTTTGTTCCAGCTCTGGCTTTAATACAAGGCTGCCTTTTACTTGTTGCTGTTCATATTTTGGCAAATCATTTTTACTTTGGAATGAAGATTACTCTTTAACATTTTATTCTGTGTAATGTTAATAGGTTTATTATGTTCTTTATTGCTTTTGTGGTTTCTTTTGTTTATGAATTACTTGCTTGTAAGCAAACAGCTTGTAAGCTGTTTGGGTTTCCTTTGGAAAAATTAATTCATTTAGCTTTAGAGTATTTAGAAGTTTTAATTTCTCATCACTCATTTGTATCTGGGTTCGTGCAATCAGCAGTATTTGCTTTGGGCAGCAAGTTACTAAAAATGGGATTTCAAGTTTTATTTCTTAGCAAAAGCTTGGTATCAAGTTCAGAGGAAAAAGAAAACAGATATGCTTAATTTTAGAAGAACTTTGTGTCTGTATTAAAAAATACAGTTGCAAAACATTTTCAGAAGAAGTTACCCTGAAAGTACAGCCAGGAAGGAGCTCCTTTGAAGGCCAGGGAAGACTTGTCCATCAGCCTTGAAGAATCAGATTCTCTGTTTAATCTCTGGTCTATTTTTGTTTGTCTTAACTAAAAGGCTTTACAGAACAGTCTTAAAATAATTGCTCATATTAAATATCTTAGATTGAAAGAGCTGTTTACGTTAAGTGTTTAGATTGATCTTGTCATTTAAGGAATCCATGGTAGCTTTAGCATTAAATATTTTGTTTCTTTTTAGAAGAAACTTTTTTTAGAAATTTCTTTTTAGTAACTTTATGGTATTTGCAACCTGTCTGTCAGCATTACTCAACACAATTTAGTTAAAAGTTAAAAATCTATCAGTTAAACTTATCAATTTTGTCTTTTATAATGTTGGGAACCCTTCCACTGAACAGAAATACATAGAAAAACGAAATAAAATTCATTTTTTAAAATATCTTCAACATTGTGTCTGAATGTTGTGTGGAATAAAGATGGATACATTATACATTGCAGAAGTCTCAGAAATTGATTTAACATATTTCAAAAGGATACACAAGGGTGAGTACACATCATTTACAACATATAACTCTTTTACAGAATTTTAGTTGTATCCCTATAACAAAATTTGTAAAAAGTGAAATGTAAGATTTCTTTCAGTTTGTTTTGTTTAAGAAAATTGTTTAAGAACATTTATTCTTCATTTCTAAAAGAAGCAAAGGCAAAATTGCAGTGTGATAGATACACTATAACTAAGAGAAACTCATTGGTTGTTTCTAGAAATTAATGTTGGTGTCTCGATTTATGCAAACCTCCTTCTGAAAGCCAAACTCCCTCTGGAGTCAAACCAAGTTGGTAGGTTTTAAAAAAATACACAACAATGAGGAGTAGGTAATCTGCATATAAGAACTGAGAAAGAAATTTTTATCATGATGTTACATGACTGCGTCAAAAGCAAATCTCCGATTTACTCCCATCTCCTCCAGTTTATTGTCTGCTTTCAGGGTTCAGAGAGGTTGCCACCGACTGTGCCTGGGAAGATGCCTCAGTGCCTGATCTGAACTCGGTATTGTCAGGATGTGTTGGTTTCTCTGTTGAACCAGGTATTATTAACAGGGTGAACAGTGTGTTCATTCCTGATGTCAAGCTTTCAGTGGAGAACGCACAAGGTTTTTTATAATTTCTGAATTATAAATGTTTTGTCTCTGGACTCCAAGGTGTCTCAGAGCTGGTGGAATTTTGGGTGTAGAAATCAGACCATGTCTTGGCTCTGAAGAGCTTACAGATTACACTTGAGTTATCTAGAAAGCAGAGATGAGACAAACAGATAAACAAGTCAGGCCACAGATTACGGTTTCATGGCACTTCACGTGTCCAGTGTGTATAACAATAAAGGGCTAGAACAGGAACAAACCCAGGTATTTAGAGGAACTATTTTAAAATCCAGGCATATTGACCATACTTTGACTTAAGCATGGAAAGGGATCAATGAATGTACATTGGAATTTAAAAATACAGTTTTCTTCTCATGCAAGAGTTCTTATGGGAGAGTGCAGGCATGTTCTGTGCCTTCAGATTTAATCTTTCCTATAAAACAATCACAGCTGGGTCAGCAAACTACGCCAATACAGACAAAATCTTCAGTCATCCTGAACAGAAAATACGTGTCCAATGGATCTTGTGGTCATTATTAGTGAGATCCAAGCTGATGCAGCAGCAGCTCCTGTAATGCAGCTGGTTGCAAGGGGAGAATGAAGATGAAACTGGTGGACACAGACGCACCCTGTTGTCCCCAGCTGAGCATGGAAATCCCTCCTAGAGAAACTGAAGTTGTTGCCCAACAAAAAATGAAAGGCTCTGTTCAGGACAGGGAACCTGAGAGGCTTGAGCATTCACAAAATTAATTGGCAAGCAAGTGCACATCTCTTTCAGTCTCCTGCTATTTGAAGGTTTCCTGCTGGTTTGTTGATTAAACAATTCCTAGCTGGTTCAATAATATAAAAATTATGCAACATATGCGGAGGCAGATTTCCCATTAGGCTGGTGTTGGCTTAGTTAATAATATTTTCAGTTCATTAACCGGAGTGCCCTAGCACAGAGCTCTGCCTGCCGTCCTCGGGAGCCACGCTGCTGCTCCTGCTCACCGGCCCCCAGAGGGAAGCTGCTTAACCCCACACCCACCTGCACAGGTCCAGAAAGAACACCTCATGCCCTGAAAAGCAAAAAAACATGGTTTTCCACACCCATGTAACTAATATGAAGCTTGTCCTTTCCTCTTCTGCCCCCCTTCCACACTGACCGGGTGATGGAAGGCGATGGGCTTGGGGAGCACGGCCACTGCACCTGGCAAAACATGGGGGTTGTGTTGGCCCCGTTTCAGACACAAAGATTGGAAAATTTGGGCAGATGGGGTATTCTGTAGTCGATGTAGAGAAATGTTTGGGGTGTTTTTTCTCCTGTGCTTTCAGAGACCAGCTCGCTGCTCTGAAACATCCTCTGGATCTAGCCTTTCTCCATGGACTGCAAAGGGAGCACAGCAGATGAGCTTCATTGGACTAAACTTGTGTTTTGTGACTGTCACCTTTCTTCATCGTCTTCAATGGCCCCCCAACACAAGTACTTGCGTTTGGACATTTTTATGTTAAATTGATGTGCTATTCAATGTGAAGGGTGAAGGCTCTTAGAGAGGAGGAGCTGTTTTAAAACTTTTATGAATTTGGACCTAAAGGAAGTAGATTCTGAAATCAAAACCACCCAATGAACCATTTTCTGGAGAAAGAAAGTATTAGAGGGTGTTGTACTGCAATACCGCCTGCCTCAGGTTGACTGTTTTGGGGAAAATTGTCAGTTTTACTATTGCTCCATGGATCAAGTAGCAGCTCCACATCACCCCCAAGAAAAAAAAGTTTTTAAGACTTGTCAATAAAGTGGTTTAAAATTATCTTCTTTTTCTCAGGATACAGATTTTTTAAAATTATGCGGCACCTTACTGTGTTTTAACCAACTTTAAAGTTGATACTACTAGAATGAGTGAAGATTACTAAAAACATTGTGTGCCTCTCTTAATAATGCACAGAAGTTAATTCCTAGAGCAACTGTTGCTGAGTCACAGGACAGACAATCACATTCACTGCTGAAAAGGAAGGACAGCAAAATGCGATGCTTTGCCACTAATCTTTAGAAAAGGGGATTTCAAAAGAAAAGGAGACTAATTAAATTATAGGTCCTAAAATTAAAAGAAACAAAGCTCTTTTAAATGCTATTAGAAGAAATCACGATTTCTTCCAAACAGAGACATGAACAGAGGGACACTAGGAAAGCAAGGAACAAATCAACATGACTGAAATTAAATTTTTCAAGATGCTGTTTGAGCAAAGGAGCATCCTCACAATTCAGAAATTTGCCCTAATGCAAACAAGGGCAGCTAATGACTCACAGTTGGTGTATACAAGATTACATGAGCTCTACTGGAATGTGAAGAGCAAATACTTACACAATCTCAGTTTGTTTTATGTGTGTATATCAGAAACATGAAGCCTCCAAAAAATTCAATTGTCTGATATTACCAGGAGCAAATAGTAAGATTCCTGATGAGACAAATTATCATTTTGGATCAGTTTCTATTTAAGAGGCTGTTGAGATGCTTCTGCCTGGGGTTTGTTTGTTCCTGGAATTTAGGATGAGCTGCTCTGAGAGGAAAAAATACAGAAGCAAAATGGAGATGAAATTGTTGTAGATGATGAGGTCTAAATAGTACCGAGAGAAATTCTGAAAAACAGGAGTTTGCAGTGTCTTGCTCTAAGACACCTTTCTAAAAGCATCACAAATGTTGGTAGCTCTTTTTAATGAAAAAAAAAAAAAAGCTGAAAGGGATGATACAGTAATTTACAATGCAGTAAATTTTGCCACCTGTTCCTGCCAACCTGCCCAAACTATTTATTGCAAATAGACCACAAGCATCTGGAAGACTGTGCAATGGACCCTCACCAGTGCTGGGGCTGCAAGGGGAAATGTTTCACTTTTCTCCTGGAGTTCTCTCTGTGGGTAAAGCCAGTGGGCAGCCAGAAATGGAGCTGTGAAATGTGAAAATGGACTGAGGACACTTTTTTTATTAATTTTTTGATATTTGACAGTTTCAGGATGAGATATGAGTGAGGTGAGCAGCCATTCCCACAACATGGCATTTTCAGTAGCTGTTCAGCTTCCCAGTGTCTGTTCCAGAGTGTCATCACCCGGGACAAACTGCAGTGTGGCTTTTTGAAACCAAACAGGCACTCAGTGATTTTTAGCAGACATTTCTTCCATCCTGCTTGGCACCTATTCAAGGAGCTGCTTTCTGCTCAAGAAGTCCTTGTAGAGACATCCCAGATGGCCTTGAGAAGTGGAAGGTGTTAGTTCCTGCCAGCTGTGCCAAGGGGCTCCTCGTGCAGCGTGACTCCTCGGTATGTGGAGGACTATCTGGGATGAACAGTCCCTCTCTGCCACCTCACAACCTTGGCGTTGTCCTTGTTTAATTCACTTTCACTTCAGTTCCCGTCAGTCTGGAAACACTGCACAGCACTGTTACTGGACAGTAGCTGCTCATCCTAGGTTTCCATCTCATCCATTCCATCTCACCCTAGGTTTATGTAGCTGTCACCAGCTTTCCGTTCCACCCAAGGCACCTGTGGGACCCAGAACACAAATACCAGCTGTGTCACAGCTTCCAGCTTTGTCGGAGTTAAGACTCCTTCCAAACAAACCACGCTGGGTGGCTGTTCCTGCAGCTCAGCACTGATGGTTGTGTCAACCCACACGTGGCCCTGCTGATCCCCCCGTGGGGGCAGCCGGAGTCAGCATCAGCAAGGAAGACTGGTCTAGGGAGGGTCATGTTGGGTCTCCTCACGTCTTCCCCACCATGGTGAATCATTTGCTAGTTAAGCCTGTTTTTATTCACAGCTGTGCTGCCTAGTCTTCAAGTTAGGAATTGTGCCTATTGTGAAGAGTCCGGGGATTTGTTAGGAAAGTTGGTGTGAGCAGGGGTGAGAGGAAGGTGAGTGCACAGTAACAGCAGCCACAGGCAGTACAAGCTTGGAAAAAGCTGATTGCAGCTTTACTTCCCAGGTCCAGCTCCCTTCCCTTTAAATTGCAAGCTTGAGAGAACAACTTTTATTCACTGAATTCACACAGAAAATCCCATCTCAACATGGGGAAAAACTTCTTCACCCTGAGGGTGACAGAGCACTGGAACAGGCTGCCTGGAGAGGTTTGGATTCTCCATCTCTGGAGATATTAAAAACCCACCTGGATGCGTTCCCATCCAGCCTGCTCTGGGTGACCCTTCTTTGGCAGGGGGGGTGGGCTAGATGATCTCCAAAGGTCCAAACCACAGCAATTAAATGACTAAAAGCACACCCAACTGTAAAGCTAATTACCATTCTTGGAACTTGCAGATTACACCTAACAACACTGCACTGCAATCCCCTTACCTCCCCACTGCTCAGTATCAGGCACAAGCTGACCCCTCCTCACCCCACCCTCCCACACCAAGTCATTTGGGCAGAGAGCTGATGGGGCATCCAGCAGGGCTGGCCAAGGTGCCTGACTCCCCTGGTCTCCTGGGGGGCCAGGTCTGCAGGTCAGCATCCCTACAGCATGGAGACATTCACAGTCCTACTCTCAGAAGATTGCTCTCCACTTTCCTTACCTCTCCCCACTTTTTTTTGATGTCTGGAGCCACTGTTTTGATTGCCAGCAGTTGTGCTTGGTACAATAAATAGCCAGAGATACTGGTCAATTTTCCATTAAATTGGCAGTCCCCTTTTGCCACGTGCCACCTTTGCCTATCCCGGGTGGTTATCGTTATCACTCCATCAGATAAACATCCCAAGTTTGTTACTGAATTAGTTTGTATAGGATTCAAAATTGTCCCATCCCTTCCCCCCTGGCATCTTCCTGAGTTTAGGACTGCTAAATGTCAGATGTGCCCATACCTTCTATGATGTTTGCCAGGCAACCCGTATGCCAGGAAAGTTGTGCTGGGCAGGCAGCACAGGAGAGGCACACTCTGAATGTAGTCCAGAATAACTGATTTCTGACATTCCATATTTCATCCCGTATTTCTGACATTGCTAATTTCATCCCATAATTTACAGGATTAATACCAGATTTTGTGGATATGCTGAGTGTCCCAAAGGAACGCACAGGATATATAGGCTGATATAAGTGCATCCCCCTACTATCACTTTGGTTGCAATTACCATACAGACTCCATGTCACTTCTGCACCTGCCCCATATTGTGCTCCAACTGGTCAGGCAGGTGGACCAGATGGTCCAAAACTTCTATTCTATTCTATTCTATTCTATTCTATTCTATTCTATTCTATTCCATCTTTCTATGGTCCCTGGACACATCTCCCTGCTTCAGTTACTCTGTACATGTCAAGATCAGAGATCACTGGTTCCTTCCTCTGCTCTGACACCCAGATGAACACACACATGCACATTCCCACACATACTGGCAGCTGCTGCTTCAGCATTTGTCCAGGGTGTCCCCTCCCTGTTAGCTGTCAGAGACTCATGGTCTTCTGAATTCCTGATCACTCGTCTTAGTATTCTTTCTTTCCAGCACCTCATCAGCCATAATAATTGTCTGTGCCTTCTCTCAAGGCAACCCTACTGCCGTTACCACCTACTCAGGCTCTTCGTACTCAAAAAGACTATGTGGTCCCAAAGTCCAGGTTCTGACCACCCACACGAGCCACCACCCCCTCTGCTATTTTCCCAAGCCTTCTCCTTTCAGAGCACCCCTCTCCCCATCCTGCACTTCTGGGCTGTTGTCTGGGTTGGGTGATACAGGAATAATTTATCTTTCGAGCAAGGTCTCTACTAATGCTTTGGAAAACTGCACTTTTAGAAGACTCTAATGTCTGAATTTGTAAAAATATTTACTTTATAGCCAGCTATGGTATGCAGGTTTCAAGGTTTCACTGTTTTCAAGCCTTGCCAGGTGCGGGGATGAGGAGAAGCGAGGCCTGGACACCTGACCCAAGCTGGACAAGGGGATTATTTCATACCACGAAGGTCACATTCAATATCAATCAGAAAGTTTGCTGAGTTTTCTCTCTTCCATGATGGCTGGGATCCAGAAAACTCCTTGCCCCGGTGCTGGACCCCTGAGCCCTTCCCTTCTTCTCAAAGCCATGGGGTGCACAGTGTCCCACATTTGCTGTCTGCTGCCGGGAGAGCCCAGCCTCCTATGATAGAATGGGCTGAGTATAACCCCTGTATATTTTATATCGGTATCAGGATCAATATTGGTTCTTTAGTATTATTAATGTTAATTATGTCGTCTTATTCTATTAAACCCGTTTATATTTCAGCCTTTGGTTTCCCTTGTTTTTTCCCGATTTCCCGGGTGGGGCGGGGTCTCCGGGTGAGACACTAATTGCCTAAACGACAATAAATCGCGGTGGGTTTTTCTAGCCACGGCAGCTGCTGGACCCTCACCCCGCGGGGGGGTTCTTACCCTTCCAGCCTCCGCTCCGGGGCAGCCCCGGCCCCGCCGCACCCTCCCGCCGCCCC